CCCCCCCCGGCCCAGCCTTCTCCTCCCCCGTCACCTCCCTCTCCCGTCCCCTGCCTCCCCCTGACGGGCTTATCCCATCCCCCATCACACATACCCACTCCCCACCCCGTCGACGACGACCTGATAGGCTGTTTGGATTTGCTCCAGTGTCTGTTTCTGGTTGTGGCTCAGACCGAGGTGATGAAGAGTATCCTGGACATGGACATGCCACCATGTGCAGCAAAAGAACTCCAACATCCACGCGACCACAAGTGAGGAAGAATGAAGGAGACATGTACGAGCACATAATCCTGGCAAGTGAAATGTGTGTCTGTCTGCATAGCTCTCACCATTCTGGTACACTCTTCAGTCGCTCTAGCGATATGGAGGCAAAGGGGACTCGAGAGAGCCGGAAGAAGGATTTCGTGACGACAATTGAGAAGTGAGACATCAAACACATCTAGTTGTGTGTGGTGTGTATATCATCTGTTTTTCTCCATCCAGAGCAAAGCAAATTGCCGTTCGGTTCCTTCGTCAGCTGACGTTGAAATTGGATGAGTATCAAGCCGGTCAGACGATTGATACATTCTATCCACAGCTCAAAGACAGCGAACGACAGTCTCATCAGAAGGAGCGGGAGTCTTGGGAGGACAAGTCATCAAGCACTTCATTCGGGAAAGTGATGGACTTCATCTTGAGGCATTCTTCCTACTGGGATCGTAAGCAGAGGACTATTGATGCAAGCCTACTGTGTCTCGCCTGCATCTTTCCTTTATTTCACTCTCTGCATCTGCATCAGTTCAATACTCAGACTCTCTTGAGGAACGTCTTGAAAACCGAATTCGACGGATGGGCGGGGTTTTTCCAAGCAACAACATGGAAGACGACCTGAAGGCCCTTCTTCGGGCATACTTCTTGTTGTCCGAGCGCTTTGTACGGCTCGTGAGCTATTCAAGCGAAAGGGCTATTCAAGAGAAGAACATGGACTTCAGAGTTCAAGAAACAATAGTCGTTCGCCAGCCAGCCAATGTCACCAAAGAGATGATCGCCAGGGATCAGGCGGAGCTCAGAAAGCCAGCTCCCGCCCCTTCTTTCTTAGCTGGGACTGCGGGGGACCTAAAGGGTGATCTGGCGCGCCCTCTGCGACGATCGAGTTGTGTTGAAGATGCTAGAGGACAGCTGGCGGCTATGGAGGTTATCCTTCAAGACAGGAACCGTGACCAGCTTAATCGTCAGAGTGATGATCAGCCGCTCACCTATCGATCCTGCCAGCCAGTAAGCAGGAGAGAGAGGCAGATGCGAGAATGCGCATCTGATCACTTAAAGCGTGTCTCTCGATGTTTAGGCTGTGGATGCGTTAAGAGGACGCTCCTATACAGCCGGGGAGAGCATGTTGCGTTGGCAGCTTCAGATGTTCGACAAAGCATCGCGGTCCACTTCTCGACTGCAGCCTGAGACACCTGCTATGGAGACAGCAAAGGACTTGTTCTCCGTGGCACTGCCGGCAGCTGTGGTGTTCGCCAGAAGTCCGTCTCTGCCTCCGCTGGAGTCAGTGATAGCGGCTGCTTCAATAGGAAAGGTAGCTCCGTCAGCGCAGAACAAAAAAGAATGCAGACGGGGATACAGCGACGCCAATCACTGCGTCTCATCCTTTCTTCACTGCTCTGTTTTCGTTCAGAATGCGCCTGAGGAAGATACGGACGCTCACCCACCTTCGCTGCAGGCAAGTGATGTGTGCCTACCGCTCAGTGTGCGGCGTGCGATGCTCGTTTCCGGCTTGTCACTGGAGGATATCTCGGCGATGCAGGGGCAACAATATGGAGAGGAGAGCGGCCTATCGGACGAAAATACATGGAGACGCCCTCCAAATGTAAGTCACCTCAAAATTAAAAGAACTGGCTGTCGCACACCATGATTAATTACTGCTGAGTGCTTGTATCAGGCTGGTGTGGTGGAGGAGACACCGGATTGGAATGACGAGATAAATGCCAAGATTGCAGCGGCGCAAGCAAACAGGGTACGAGAACTAGAGCACGACATCGAGGAGCTGCAGCGTCAGAAAGGGAAGACGGACGAAGAGAACGCGGCCCTTAAAAACGACATTCGGGCGGTGAAGAATGAGAAGGAGCGGATGGAGACGGACACAAAGAACCTATGGCGGTGTAACAGCGAACTCCGTCAACACCTGGAGTTGGCCGAGCAGCACGAGAATAATATCAAGGATCTCTTACAGCAAAACAGAACGGCTCTGAGCGAGCAGGTACGGTCCCGGTATCTGAACACTTTAAGCACACACTTGTCTATCACTCAAACATTCACTAGCATGCGTCGATTGCCGCGTGTTTGTCCCTTCTTACAGTTCCCACAAGTCCTGCAGAGGATGTCGAGGCTGGAAGAGAGACACGAGGAACTGAACAACACTGTGATGACTGAACTTCCTCGTCTCAAACCACCCCCCTCCCGCGCAGACGAGAAGCTCACCGAGGTGCTGCAAAAGCTCTGTCACTTAGAGGATCTCGAGGCCAAGATGACGGACATGCTCGTCAGCATCCACGCGAAGGAAGCCGCCCAGGCATCGAGCCCCACATCACCCCGTAACAAGGCGGTCGTACAAGAAATCGTGAAGGAGCTGCGAACGGAATTCGAGGAGCCGTTACAGAGACTCGGCACTTTCCCGGCCGCCTTCGAGGCAGAAGTGCAGAAGCTTGGCAAGCTGCATGGCGATATGGAGGGAGTCTTGTGCAGCCAAGCCAACGCTGATGCCATCAAGCCGTCGACTTCCGACAGCAGTCCGCCCCCGATGACTGATGTGGCCGTTCCCGCCGCGCTAGAGCGAAAAGGATCGTTGTTCAGTGAAGTAGTTGACGCAGAAGCACAGGGAAAGGTAGTTCAGTCAGACAAGACCCAATAAAAGCCTCATTTATGGATATCGACCTCGCGCTTCATGTCGTGCTTCTGCGCAGTTGAAGGAGGCACAAGAGACCATTGAGAATCTCAGAGGAGAACTTGCGCAGGCCGCAGGGCTGAGGGATCGGCTCGAGACCAAGACAGACAAATTGGAGTACAATCCACCATCCTTGAGCCATTGAGAATCGAATCGCTCATGGCGTGTGTGTCTCGATCGATGTTCGGTGTGTGTCTTAGGCAAGCGCTGCACGACAGTGAGCTGGAGAGGACAACCGTCTACGGAGAGTTCTCGAAGCTCAAAGAGTGCATCCAGGACCAAGGCGTAAGGATACAGTTCATGGAACAAGAGCTGGTGGCCACCCGAGAGCGCGATGGGGCCAATGAAGAAAAACTGCTGTTTGTCATGTCAAAACTGCAGGAAAGGGTTGCATCTCTCACGAAGCGTGTGGCAGAGCTCGATGCTCAGGTAAAAGGTGGAAATGGTCACTTCTCGAAAGATGTATCATTATATTGCGGTGATTTTTGCTTCATTGTCAGCTTGAAGAGAAAGACGAGGCCCTCAGGAAGGCTCAATTGGAAATTCAGCGAGAGAAGGAGGCACGCAAGCGGCTGGACGACGAGACACAGCAGCGACTGACAGCGCTTCAAGCCGTCAATGATCGCTGGGACAAGACGCAGACCTTTGAAGAGCTGGGAGATGGACTCAAGGGAGAGCTGCAGTTCATGCGAGAGGACAAGAAGAAGCTGCAAGAGCAGCACGACAAGCTTGCCACGGAACTAGTTCAGGTGCGTGCTGATAAGCACTCATGCGACAGGGCTCACAGCGAAACGATGAAGGAGCTCATCGCGGCACGTTCCGAGGCATCCAAGAAGAGCAAGGAGCTGGAAATCTGCCAGCTTGAGGCTGGTAAGACAGAAAGTCATTGCACTCTCTCGAGTCACTTGTTCTCTTCTTCTTGTCTTTCCCATACAGAGCTTTTGAAAACGGAAATGAATGCTGCACTCGCCGAGAGCAAAGGGCTACGCGAGCAGCACGCTGCCGAATTGGGAAAGCTGCGCATGAAGGAGCAGATCCTGGAGCAACAGATTGAGCAGATGCAGCAAGAGATGTCGCACGCCAGGGCGGAGAGCGACCGGCAGCTGACAGAGCTGAGAGAGCAGGTCAGTGGACAACATGACTAAAACATGATGCACGGGCGATTGGTGGCAATATGTGTGCAGGTCAAGGAAAAGGACTGTGAATTGCAGAAGATGATCGGCGCCTACAAAGCCCTCGAGGAGGAGAAGGCAGCCCAACAGGCGCACTACACAACGACCCTACACGAACAGGCAACCAAAGGAGAGAGACACGACCACACAGCACAGCCCCAGACATTTTGGCGTTCTTGTCTGCAGAAAGCCGAGCTACAAGGACAGCTGGTGGCTCTGACCGATCAGCTGAGCAGCGCCGAGGCCGAGAAGGCAGCTTTTGAGGTGAAGCGGGATGCCCTGCAGCAGTTGGTGGACAACATGATAATGGAAAAGGACGAGATCGATAGCGAGCTTAAAGACTTGAAACAAAACAGGGTGCAAAGTGACCGACAGCTGACAGAGTTGGGTACACAGGTCAGCGGGCTACAGGGGGTGAGGCACAATGCAGAATGGATGATTGGTGGCGGTATGCTGCAGGTCAACGAGAAAGACGCTGAACTGCGGAAGATGGCCGAGGCTTACAAAGCCCTCGAGGAGAAGGCAGCCCAGGAAGCGCGGCACACTAACACCCTCAACCAACAGGTTAGTAACCAAATGAGAGAGGCAAATGGCAACAAGAGAGCGATCGGCATCCTTCATCGATGGTCGTGTTCATAATGTATATTCCTGTGGGTTGGTGTCTCGTCTTTTTTCCGTTATCATGTCAGCTCAAAAAGACCTTTGAAGGGCTGGCAGATGGCCTCAAGGGAGAGCTGCACTCCATGCGAGAGGACAAGGCCAAGCTGCAAGAGCAAAACGACAAGCTTGCCGCGGAACTAGCTCAAGTGCGTGCTGATGAGCATTCAGGTGACAAGGCTCACAGCGAAACGATGAAGGAGCTTATGGCGGCGCGTGTTGAGGCATCCAACAAGAGCAAAGAGATTGCTGATATCACCGCGCAGCTGGACAAGTGCCAGCTTGAACCTGGTAAGACAGAAAGCAGTCATTCTTTCTCGACTCACTGTTGTCTTCTTCTTACTGTCTTTCATATTCAGAGCGGGTGAGAACAGACACTCGAGCGACGGAGGAGGCTGCAGCCAACATCGACGCACTACAGAAGCAGAATCAAGTGGGCGAAAAGGATTAAGTACTCACTGCATATCATCTTGTGGCTCTCGTCCCTCTTTTCAGGATCTGAGAAGCCGTGAGGTTGCCAGGAAGAGTGAGAGAGACGCGGCCATGCAGGACCTCGAGCGCGTCAACAAGACAGAGGTGAGCATGGTGCATTGGTCAAAGGTGGAAGCGTGGGCAAAGGCATGTCTGTATCATGGCTCTCACGTATGCAGGAGGCCACTCGCAAGCACAATGAAGAGCTCAAGAAGAAGATTAAGGAAATGAGCGAGGAGATGAAGATCCTCAACGACCGCCATCAGCGACCCAACGTACGAAACAAGACGCTTCATGGGCTTCCCTGCATGTCAATCATCCCTCCTGTCTGGTGTTGTTGTGTCGGCGGTACAGGAGGAGAGCACGCAGACTTTTGAACAGCTGGCAGACAACCTGAACTCCATGCGAGATGAGGGTAAGAACGCAGGCATGCTTGCACACATCTGCCAGCAGCCGCTGCTTTTGCCTTCCATACACACATACAGCAAAAGCATTCTGCCTTCTCATGTCTGTCTCTGACTGCAGTCAAGAATCGTTTGGAGGATATCGTGCGGGTGCTCAACAGTCACACGCATCATAACGGGTCGAGCAGGCCTGAGCAATCTGTAAGTGAAAGGCTCTCAGCACGCACTTGCTTCACATGCTTCCATTTCATTTCAGGCTGAGCTGCGTTCGATATTGAGGGAATTGTCGAGTGAGGACATCGAGGAGAAAAGCAGAATGGCTGCATTTCTCCTCTGGAAGAGCGATCCCCACAGACACGCCGACGAGGAGAAAAACTATTTTGAGGTACGGGAAGGCGAGATGGAGGATCAATCTGCCGTTTCTTGCCTTACCTTCACCTGCATGGACTTGTGCAGGCAAAAGCGAACGTGCTCCAGAGTATAATTCTTGATCGTCTGAAGCTTTCTCCTGAGCTGAGAGTGTTGTCGCAGCGTGAGGGGAGGGGGGAGGGGGCTAGCCCATAAGTCGTATCGGACGTATTGTTGTAAGGAAAGAAACGCTTCGGACGAGATCTCAGCCAGCAATCTCGTTGCTTGAATCTCCCTTAATATCATCTGCAGACACTATCTTAACCTCAACTGACACTTGAATCATGTCTCACACAATGCACCTCACTCCTTTCTTTTTTGCACTTCCTGCTCAAAAATGCGTCCCTTGATCAGAAAAAGTCTCTTTCCCACCCTGACACGTGCAATGATCCCCCATTTTCTTTGCCATCGCGACATACGGAAAATGTGGAAGCGTCTGTTCTTGTACATCTGTATCTCTGCATATATGGTGAGGACAGCCGTCTCTCTCTCTCTCTCTCTCTCTCTCTGTGTGTGTGTGTGTGTGTGTGTGCCTGCCTGACCTTGGAGCTGAAGTTCTCTCCCGTCGCCCCACTTCTTCTTGGTGTCCAGAACAGTCGCCTCGCCGTCCACCACTTGGTGCAACTCGACCTGCGGAGAGACGTAAAGACACACAGAGACACCGGTGGGGGCCGACATGCTTCCTTTTGTGAGTCCCGCATACATACAGCATTGATGTTGATCATGATGACAAAGAAGTTCTCTGTGTCGTATGCCTGCCGCACAACACACGCAGACAATGTGTCTCGATTGGCTTTGCTTCACATGGATGCTCACTCGCAGCACAAGCCCGACGGCTCCCGCCTTGACGGCACCCGGCGCGCCGAGTGCGACGTCCACGGAGACGTGTGCCGACGGGCACTGGAAGTTGCGGAGGATGATGGCCTTGCGGAGCGATGCGGCGGAGACAATCTGTGGCACAGGCATGAGGGGGCTGATCTTGGGCTGCAGACGAGACACACACACGCGCACGCACAAAGCAGATCGATGGTGCAGTAACCGTCTGTTCTTGTGCGTGTATGGATGTGTAGCTGGATGCGATGGTCCTTTACTTTCTTGTAGAACATGTCCTCAGAGCCCAGACGGTAAACAGCCTTGTCGCCGCCCTCCACGTAGCCACTGTGCCACCCTGCACAAACAACACGGAGACACACAGACCAACAGACACTCAGACGGCGACAATGTGCATGGAGGATTTAATCGAACGTAAATGGCGAGAATAGTGAGCGCGTCTTTTTGATTTCTGCACTGTTTCATTTTCCGCATCGCGCCCATCCAAGGCCTAACGGCAATACCGCCCGCCGAGGAGCCACCTTCGCTCGACGACCTCCAGCACCCTTTTCATCAGCTCGTCTGGCGACAGATAAAGCACACATCGAGGAGCCAAGAGAGAGTATCCTCGAGAGGGTCGGTTGTGCGTGCCATGGGAGAGTGATGCCGACAAGGAGGGCGACGAACGATTGATACATTCTATCCACAGCTCAAAGACAGCGAACGACAGTCTCATCAGAAGGAGCGGGAGTCTTGGGATGACAAGTCATCAAGCACTTCATTCGGGAAAGTGATGGACTTCATTTTGAGGCATTCTTCCTACTGGGATCGTAAGCAGAGGACTGTGATTCAACCATGCTGTGTCTCGCCGGCATCTTTCCGCTCGAGGGCCTTTCGGCTGTTGATTGGTTGGTGTCCTCTCCTAAGCGTGTGACTGTTGCTCGCCTGGTGTGACTGCAATACACCGTCGGTCACAACTCCGCCAAGCAGGCCGTAATCCGTACAATCCGGTATCACAATGCAATTACTCCTTACTGCTTGTTGCCTTGCATTGCACATGTGTGTGTGTGTGTGCTCAAGGTCCCAAGGATCACAAGGTGAGGCTGTATGTACCTGAGTATGGTGTCTTTGCATATCTTTTTTTTTCCCCTTTCAGTGCTGCATCCAGGAGGGGTTTAGCCAGGAGACGCTATCAAGGAATCAGACTGCGCGATCCCGAAGGACTTCGTGCTCATCAATTGGACCCATGGCAGCGATCAGGGACGGCAGATTGCACCCATGATGCGGAGGCTGCCACCACATCGACGAGACCTTCAGCTTTCGTACTCGAGCTTCAGCTTCCGCGGCGTGTACAAACCGCAAATCCCGAGGGTCGAGAGAATCTCCGATGTGAGATCGAGAGCGGCATCTGCTCAGGCACACACGCTGGTATCGTCTCCTGGACTGGGCGGGCTTCTGGCTTGCTAACGCTTATGTACTCGAATGAGCCGCTGCAGCCAAACAACGTCCGAGAGCCCTTTATAGATATGAAAGCCCCTCGTCTTGACACGGACCTTGCTCGAGACGTCATTCAAACAGCCATTGAGGGCGACGGGAAGCTTCTGGATCAACTCGGGACGTGATCGCGCTTCCTGGACGTCTTCGGCTATTCGTGTGTGTGGCCGCCATGCTATCTGGCGTGTGACGAGTTGGGGAAGGCCCCGGAGGTCAAGGCGGCCCTCGGCGGAGGCTTCGCCACTGAGACCGAAGAGGGCGAAGTAACTCGAAGCCGGGCTTCCACCATCAAGGGCATGATCGACAAAGACGCCCGAGAGCTTCGAAAGACGCCCCCCGCCCCTCCTTCTCTGACGGGAGCTCCTCTTGACGTGTATGAGGATCTGCCGGGCCTGATGCGACAAGGGACTTGTGTTGAGGGACGAGGGCGGGCGACGGCCTTGGACATCCTCCTCCAAGACAAAACAGACGGCTTAGACCACGACAAAGGTGACGATCAGCCGCTCACCTATCGGTGTAGCCACTGTGTAAGCGCAACTGAGGGAATTAAGGAGAAAAGAGTGTATGTGTGTCTCCTCCCTCTTATTTAGGCCACAAGCAGGCCAAGCGAAGAGCGGAGAAGACAGCGGAGAAATAGCGGCGGGCTGAGTACTACTGGATAGCGGCGTCGAGAAATAGCGGCAGCCGCCTCACCCTCGCCCGAAGAGGAAGACGGCAGGCGTAGGGCTGGTTGATGGGCGGCCACTGTGTGCTGTGCAGGAAACCGGGGGTGTGAATATTCAGAAACGGAAGGCACGCGAGGCTGTGACGTGCCTGCCTTGCACACCCAGCCATGTCTTCACCGATGAAGTCGATGCCATCGCCACAAGGAGGTAAGTGGCCACAGACGGTGTCCGTCGATCTGGTGAGTGGTCACATGCATCGGATGTGTGTCTTTCTACGTCCTTTCTGCAGGCATTTCGATGCGCAGACTGGATCGACACAGTTGACACTGCTGTGAGTGACCGCACAGTACTTTGATAGGTGCGAGACAGCCATGGATGGATGGATGGATTTCTCTCTTGTTGAATAGATGGGAAGCGAGACGGATAGAGGCCATCGTTGCCTACATTTTATATTGGTTGGGCTATTTGACCGACACGAGACACGCATGAGTCGGATGGTGGTTCAACTGATTGCCTTCCGTCGCAGGAGATCAGTGGATGGTGACACCCCCGTACTCGAACAAGGCATTGATTGCTGAAAAGCGCGTCACGAAGCCCAATGCGTCTTTGTGTGTGACGCGTTGTGTTGACCCTAATCAAATGGATGTACCTGTCTGTCGTGTGTTGATTCATCCTGTCCGTGCTTGGCAGTTTGATTTGCCACACCAGAGCGAGCGAGCGAGCGAGCGAGCGAGCGGGGCATGGATTGCTACCGCCGCTGCTCTTTGTCAAAGGATGCATAAGAAGACAAAGAGTTGCAACCATCAATGCGTCTTGTGTGTGTGGTGTGGACGGCAATACCCTGCGACGCGGTGCTTGTGTCGAGAAGTGCTTTGAAGAAACTCGTCAGTCACCCGACAAACATGCATTCATTCATCGAGTGGTCCGGCTGAGCATGTTTGTGTACATGCCGGGCGTTGAGGAACATGACCGATGGAATAATACTCTATACTCATTCAATTCGGACCGCATCCATGTGTCCCCCAGCAGATTCTGCTCAATCCCAAGACCAATGCAATGCCACTTCGTGCATAAGGTTGTATGGACAATCGATCGTTTATGCTACTGAACAGACCCACACATTGCTAGTAAAGGAATTGGCAGTGCTACGTGCAGTGCTCCCAATGCAACACACCCACACACGTGAGGCGGCAAAGCAGCACAACTAGGATGGATCGCCAGGGCCTTCTTTGCCTTCCTCTTCCGTTGACCGGCCTGGCGCCTGGTCGCCTCCTCCAATTCTGGCTCGTTTGCGCGGATGATGTGGCGGGAAGTCGATGCAGTCGGGCAGAGCTGTGCTGGTGTAGAGGTCCAGGACGACCTCTTTCCTCTTCGCGTCATAGTACAGGAGGCCCTGGTTGTGATCCTCGAGCTTGTCGAGAAGGAAGGCAATCACATCGTAAAGGAAACGGAGGCACACCTCTGGCTCCTGAAGCAACAACAAGAAACAAGAGATGGCACATGGATACCTCTCTCAAAGAAGACAGACATGGTTTCCTGTACCCATAGCGGTGTCCTTTTGTTGCTGTTGACTATCACGGGGATCTGAAGAGTGCTGCACAGCAAAGAAACATGGTGACACTCGCACAATGGTGGTTGTTGTGTCTTGCAGTGCAGGGGTACTCGAAGGTCTCGACAGCTTGGAGAGTGCCTCTGTCGTCTCGGAAGCCACCTGTGTCAGTAACAGGGAGAAAGAGAGAGAGACGAGGAGAGCACCAGACAGACAGACAGACAGACAGGGCGGGAGGGTGTTGTTTGGGTCGATATGATGATAGCTCAGATAGGCGTCATCGCCACACTGCTCTGATCTCACGCCCACATAGGATCTTGGGCACGCCGGGCATGTATGACTGAATCCAATACTTGAGCAGCTTCCGTTCGAAGTTTTGTCTGGCCCGTCCATTGTCGATTCGTGGAGTGACCTTGAGCTCAACATACTCACCCTTATCTGAGCTCAGCACACAAACACCTTTATGGCGGTGGCACGCTGGTATGGTTGTCTTTCCTTGTTTGCGCAGCTGACTGACCATCGATACAGTCGATTTCTGATGAGAAGAGTATGTTGTAAGCACCAATGCGCCTGTCATCATCGTACTCGGCAAGTGCTGACGAAACAAGTGTGTTGTAGTTCTGCAATGGTGACAGAAAGGAAAGCTCAGCTGGTGGCAAGCAGCGCGTTTCCCGTTTGTGAGGTCACCTCTTTGCCGCCACATGGCTTCGACAGATCTCCCCCAGTCACGCAATGCTCAAACTGACCACACAGCAACATATCCACCTACGAAGTCAGTCGGTCCATGCTGCAGCTCACCCTGTGTCCCCTGTAGTTGATTTCGTGCGGGATTGGGTTCTTCTCCGTCTCCTCGTTGATGCGGACATCCATGATGAGGCAACCGTGACGCCTGACCATCAAACGCGACAGAGCAATAGCCCCGATATGCCTCTTTGCAGGTATCTCGGCTGTCTACCTGTAGACGGCGAGTATCCACGGAAACCGGTCATTGTATGGCGTGCCCATTATTTTGTTGATATTGTTCCTGTATGTTATCAGGTGGCTGTCGTACACGTCGCCGTCCTCGCAGAAGTGCGCATGCATGGCGAAAATGTGCTCGAGCGGAGCACCGGGGATGGGCTGGAAGGGATCAGGCGCTGGCTTCTTGGCGGCCTCTTGTCGCTGAATCCACTCATCGAGAAAGGCATTCAGGTCACACGGCAGCTGGGGAATGCACAGCTTGGCCTGCAGAAGAACGAGAGAGATGCAATGGGGTCACATCACAGACAAGCTGCTGAGATCAGATCTTGTTCATCTCGCACCAGACAGGATTTGTTCATGCGGCAAACGCCTCCCTCAGCCTCTGACGAGCTGTAGCCAATCTCGCGCTGCAAACGAGTCCACAGATCCACCCCTCACCCCTGCTTGTTTTTGTTGCTTTTGCTTACTGGTCGTTCGTAGTCGATGTTGGTTTGCCGCCTTTGCAGCTCCCTCAAATCCACACGCATCGAATGGCTCGAGAGAGGCTTGCGCGTATCTTCAGTCGACGCCATTTCGCAGCAGCGATTGGGAGCACCCTAGCGATACCGTGAAACCAAAGGAGAGGGATTCGCTAAAAGAACCGATGGAAGACACAGCAGAATCAACTGAAGACAAGCACGTAGAGAACAAAGAGCATGCATGTGTGCTTACTTGTCACCTGATGCGTGTGTTTCTCCGATTGTCCTTCTTTGATTGAATCTCAGACAATGAGGGCTCCACCTGGCGCCGTGCTGCAACCCATTGCCGTTGAATCATGGCTCGCGTGGCAGAAGGAGGCTTTACAACCGCTGTCTCGGGGACAGGCAAGATGCAGCGGCCCTCCTCCGTCTTCTTCCCCCTCGAGGACGACACGAATACTGCAGAATGCATGGCAGAACCGGCAAGGAGTACGGCCGTTCATCAAGGATCCCTATGAACAAACAATGCCCACAGACCTCACGCCCATTGGCCCTCGCCTGCCGTCGATTGGCGGTGCAATCAACCGCATGGATCCGCGCATCGAGCCTCCCCATCTGCACCTCAGCGATGGAGGAGTAAGGCTTCACCAGGAGCTCAACAAGAGCAGAGAAGGAGGGACGCGAATGGTCGGTATCGGCCCGCTCGAGGCGTCTACTCCTGTCGATATGTACGAGAAACAGGTTGCGAGGAGTGGTGTGGACTTGGAGGCCAGCGCACGGGCGGCGCAGGGAGGTGTCACGGTCAATACAGAAAAAGGGCTGGACGAGCTGACGAGCAAGACAGATGGAGTGGGCGGCTTCGTCCAGTCTGTACCACTCAATGGTAGGCAACTAGTAGTAGGGCAGGTCAGTAATCTGATGCTGTATACGTGGACATTCAGTCCTGTCGAGAACTCCACCAGCAGCCAACCTCGTCAAGGTCAGCAGGACTGAAGGAGATCCAAGGAAGACGTATTTATTCATCCATGCATACTGACATGGATGGCATTTGCCCAGCTGCATCACTACCTCCACGTGGAGGCCCCTCGGCAGACGGAGTGGGCAGCCAAGATTGTCTTCAAAGAGGACCAGCCACCCCGACCGCCACCGATTCGAGTTCAGACCCGGCCCGCCCCGGAAGAACTCACTCCTCCTTCCCCATTCCAATACAGTGACGGCTCGGCGATTGACTATCATCGGGACTTCACACGCAAGATGGTTAGCGGAGGCCTGTCTTGTACAGAGCGCGGCGACGTGTCTCACCTTCTCTTGCACTGCTCGTCAGATGGCGTGGCAACGTGCTGTGCTGGATCGTAATGCGACGAGAATTCAGCGAGCATGGCGGCAAAGGGGAGGGAAGAAGCTGTCGTTTTGGCGGGGGAAGCCGATGGAGCGACTGTCGGCCAAGGCCAATCGATTCATGGAGTAAGCATAAGAAACAGGGAAACGACTCAGCCAAAGTATGCTCCGGCCTGTAATCAATTTGCAGCGGATGGAAGACAGCTCAGAAGACAGCTAAGGTAGCTTCGCAATCCATGCTTTTCCCGTGCCCCATGTGCGCTTGTGTGCTTCTCTTCTCGTCTCAGGAACGGAATGAGGAGGAGCAGCTCAGGGTACAAGAAAGAGCTGCCACTCTGTTCAAGTAAGGTCTTTACGGCACAAAGAGCACATGTGGTACAGACGTGTGCTCATGTCGATCTTTCAGAGACTGGATACCTTCAGAAGAGAAACCGCCTGTCGAGGCTCTCCTTCGTCCCGCCACTGCCCCGGTGGCACCGTCGGCTGTAGAGGGCCTTCTTGGAGAGCCTTCGCCTCCTCCTGCCGCCATTGCTGACTTGATCTCCGGTCGGCCGTCAGCGGCTCCCTCTGCGCCTCCTTCTGCTTCCCGTGCCCCTCAGGGTCTCCTTCCTGAGACGCCATCGGCAGTACAGGGTTTGGTCAGTCCGCCAAGTGCAATCGAAGGGCTGGTGTCAGAACAGCAGCCTCCGCCGACATTGGCTGGACTCGTCGACGAAGAGAGACCTGCAATTGCCGGCCTGTTGCCAGAGTATGGCGAGGCCCCAAGTGCGCTGGCGGGTTTGGTGCCCTCTGCGGTGTCGACGAGCCCCAGGGAAGAGAGGCGACGTGTGAGTGAGGAGACACTGCAACAGATGAGTGTATTGCTGAGAAGAGCCGAAGAGAGACGCCGCAAGCAAAGGACAGAGGAGCAGCATGATCGAGCCAGGTAAGAAATCTTCATGCAGATCGGCTGATGTGCCTCACGGATGCGGCTGATGTGTGTTCCAGCTCTATTCGTGAGCAGTTTCGGACGGTGAGGCCTGTGGCGTTCCATCAGATGCGCATGCGCGAGGAGCTTCATCGCACAGAGGATCGCAGACGCAAATCGATAAGGCAAAAAAGCGCAAAGAAGGCAAAGGTGGAGGGAAAAGCACGGAGACGAAGCTTGCTGTAAGCCCATTGTGACAATTCATCAACAGATCACTGTGCCGTGTCTATGCATCAGAGAAGGGCTGCTCGGTCCGACTCAGCTGGCGGACTTCTTTGCACCCCCCACGAGGACGACCCCAGTGACACCAGCAATGATCCCGCCCCCTGCTGCCGTGTCTGAGGAAGAGGGGCTGCAGAGACAAACTGCAGCCAGAGACATACAACGAGCATTCCGGTCAGCTGTATGAATGGCACAGATGTCTTCATTAATGTTTGATGGTGGATTTCTTGCACATATCAGAGGTAGTCTAGTCAGGCAAGAAACAAGCGCTCGGAAGGCTCGACTTGCTCACGAGGTACTCTTTGGCTTCGAAGTAAAACTCGGCCATCTACTTGTTTGCCTCGTCCAGCAACTTGAATGGGGAGAAGCTGCTCTGTACATCCAGCGGCACTTCCGTGGCATGAGAGGCCGCAAAATGGCCGCAACCAGGCGCAAGGAGGTGAGCTGGAGCGCGCTGCGCTGATCATTTTTCATGTAATTCCTCCATGCGTTATCAGGAGCAGGAGCGCCAGGCAGCGCTGTGTATTCAGCGGCTATTTCGTGGCCGCAAGGGAAAGACCATTGCTACCAAAATCAGGCATGACGTAAGTGCCTGGTTGTCTGCGGTGATTGTCTTGCTGACGTCTCTTCTTTGTACGTCTGCTGTCAGCGCCTCAAGCATGATTCAGCTGTGCGGATACAGCGGCTCTTCCGAGGCAGGAAGGCGAGAGAGAGAGCCGACCAAATGCGATCCCAGGTAACAGAGACATCACCAATCCAAGCGGCCTATTTGGAGCATGTGTTGGATGTCAGGAGCTAGCGTCGGGCCATTTGTCCTTCCTCTCCATGGACCGAATCCTCGAGAATCTTCAGGTACGACTGCCTGCCAATCCGTCGCCGCGCTTCAATTTAGCCCTGCCTCCCTCTGTACATGTCTCAGCGTCGATTAGAGACAGTGGCGGAGAACGAGCGACAAGTCATGGGCAAGGCACCTCCCTCGGTGTCTGCACCCCCGACCCGTCGACCGACGCCCATTCGTCGCCCGCCATTCGCAACTACTCTCCCAGAGGAGGTGCTTGAACGACGCCCACCGGAGAGGCCAGCGATTCATCGTCCGCTGGAAGGGACAGTGCAGCCACAGTCGGCTGTCGTGGCTGAGGTGCACACGCTCACCAATGAGATATTGGAGCTACTCGGGCAACCGCCGACTGAGTTGCCTTCCTATCAGCCCCAACCACCACAAGAAGAGGAGAAAAGTGACGGGGAGCTTCAGGTCGCTGAGGAGCGTGAGAGCGTCAAGGAAGAGGCCGCGGAGCGAGAAGATGAAGAGCGTCTCGAGCTCGAGCCAGCGAATCGTGCCTCAGACAAGCCATCTCGAAGAACAACGCTGATGTCAAAGGTCGCTTTTGCCACGCTTGCCTTCATGCGGCCACCACCTGAGAAGAAGGGCAAAAAGAAGAGAGCTCCGATGCCAATGCCCGCGATCACCAAGAAGGGCCAGAGGAGGGACTCGAAAGAAAGAGACGTCTCGCCAGTGCATGTGAGGTTGATGAGACGCCAGCTGGAACGCGTGGAGCGTGAGCGTGTGTTCCAGCGGAGACGCGACATGCTGAAGTGGAGGAGGCAACAGCGAAGAGACAAACGATGATACATGAGCCGCCGACCATGACAGTGCCACCTGCGATACAAACCCTCGAGCGTGAAGAGGCTCCCAGCTCATCTGACATCGATGCTGATCACGGCGGCAGGATTGAGACCGTCACGATGGCGCAGCGCATCATGAAGTAAGGTCACCAAATCGTTCTGCCTCTATGTCCCTCTGTTTGTCCAGTCTATTCACTGTTCAAGCCACTGCTCCAGACGAGCACAGGCAACGATCCATCGCCACACCAGGCAACGATGTCCAGAAGTTGATGCGGTCCGTCAAGGCCTTCCAGACCGCCAAAGCTATGGCCTATCAAGCTGCCAAGGGGGATGGCGGCAAGGGCAAGGAACCGCCACCAGAAGGAGGCAAGGCAGCCGAAGCTCAGCCATCCGCAGCAGCCAAGGCTGCATCCAAGCTCAAGAGGGTGACTGTGGCAGCTGCGGCTCGAGCCGCAGGCCCAGCAAGCAGTGGCAGATGGGGCTCTGAGGCCGAGTCGTCCGCCCCGTCGGCCGAGTCCTCTTCGTCCTCATCTGAGGTCGACGCCAAGCAGTTCAGCAGACTCAGGGCCTTGACGACGGCTCAACGATTCGCAAGGTAGTACAGAATGTAGACAAGAGCTGGGCTGAGACGAGAAGTGGGAAATGACCTATTTTGTGAGCAGTCTCTTGAGCGTCCAAGCGACAGCCATCGATGACGAAACCCGCCGTCGGACAGTAGGAACGGCGGGGAGAGACGTGCAACGAATGATGCGAGGAGTGAGGGCCTTCAAGAGCGCTGCCAGTGACAAGGAAGCCAAGTCAGAGAAGAAGCTCGTGGCGTTCAGCAAGGAGGAAGGCACCGAGGCAACGAAAGAAGGCAGGGCGGCATCGATGCTCAAGAAAGCGATCTCCAAGACGAGCGGCGAGGAGAGCGCCGTCTCAGCCAGCTCTGCAGCGGAGACATCGGAGAGCAGCGACAGTCAAGAAGCCGACGCTGGCAAAGTCGAGACGCAAAAAGACATGTCTCCTACGGAGCGTCTTGGCAGGTCAGCGAGAGTGTGGAGAAGCGCTTGAGCTTTGCCCATGGTCACGCCTGGTTTGTCTCTACAGACTGTACAGTGTCCACGCTTCTGCAATCTCTCAAGAAGGACGGACTTTCAGTCAGGCAGGGACCGACGTGCAGAGGCTGCTTCGAGGTGCTGCAGCGTTCAGAGCTGCAGGAAAGAGACGAGCCACCGCACCGTCTGCCCCTCCGCAAGCTGACGAGGACCAGTCGCGAGAAGCTGCTTCAGCCAAGGCTTCGTCAGCTTTTCCAAAGAAGGGCTTGCCACAAGGCATTGCATCGAGGCTGAGATTGAAGGCGAAGAGTGCGGCACAGAGCGGTAAAGAAGGTGGCGAGATATCGGAGGTCGCAAGCAGCTCAAGCTCGTCTGAAGTCAAGGCCGAGGACTTCGAAAAGCAGGAAGGCGTGACGACCACCGAGAGAATGGCCGAGTAAAAGAATGAACATACACCGCAGACAATGCGCATTCTTTTACTCGGCCAATTCTTTTACTCGGTGTGCGTGTCTTTTTATTCCCTGCAGCCTACTGAGAGCCCAAGCTGGAGGTCAGTACAGGTTGCGATGTCTGCATTGGTTTCTTCTTCATGTATCCTGTGGATGCTTAGCAATCGCGGAAGAGCGAGGCAGAAGCATGAGCACGGCAGGCCGCGACGTGCAGCGAATGCTGCGAGCGGTAAGTGCCTTTCGCATGAGTTCTCCAACCCCTCCTCAGCCTTCTCGTGGCGGCGAAGGGGAAGCAGAGCAACGAGAGGGAGGCAGAAGACGCGGAGGTTCGTCGTCAGCTCAGCGATTCATCAGGTGAAACCGTACCAATCGATTCACACAGCGAGGCATCTGTTCGTACCATATTCGTTCGACACATAATTTTCCATGCAGTATGTATCGAGCCGAGCGCAAGAGTGAATGACAGGTGTGTATGTATGTATTCCTTCCAATGCTTCTCTCTTTTTTCCCGTGCCGTTCATGTCCCGTGTCTCCCTCACAATGTTCATCAATTATGAGTCGGGAACGAATTCTTTGCCTGGTGGCACAGGCTGGTGCGATTGCGTTTGAGGCGTCACACTGTGGCTGTAGAGATGGGATTTGGTTCTGTGCGGGATGGTCGGTCATTGTGTTCAAGTGTTACGAGACTTGTGTAACCCCAAAGGGCCTATCGATATTGCGCACAAACGTGGCAGGACGGGGACAAAAAAAAACGGAAAGGGAGAAAGAAGAAAAAGGGAGAGAGAGAGAGAAAAAAAAGAGAGAAGGCTGACGTCCCAGACCCAAAACTTAAGTTTCACGCGGGTGTCACGTCTCAAACACTGGAAAACTCTCTCCACTCTGAAAACTCTCTCCACACTCTTGGCGCACGGAGAGGATGAAGGATGACTGGCCTACACTGTTTGCGAGACTTCCGTGTCAGCCGTACCAACCACCCGCACCAGACGACAAGCATGGCTACCATGATGGTGCTGTCGGGCTATCTTGTCATTCTCTTGATCATCATCCCTTCATGTTCCGCTTCTGCTTCGCTGGAGTCGCTGCGCCTGAGATCAGGTAGGCTCTACACGGCTCAGTGCATGACGGGGCAATGATCCGTGCTGTCTTTGGATGCAGGAGGCTCCCTTGCCCTTCAGCTTGGCACGGCCAACGAGACTGACGCGGCGAACGCGACGGAGGGCCTCCACCAAGGTGAGCAGACGCACCTTACACATTGATTCACTCGACACTTCGTTTGCCTTCTGTTGTCTTGGCTGCAGCGCACAAGGGTGCCGATCTTCAGGCTAAGACACACGGCGGTCAATCGGTACAGCAGTGCCCGGGCATGAGTCCCGCTGTCGTCGCGCAGCCAGCCTGTCATTTCGCCCATGCACAGTGTGGCCGGGGAGCTGTTGATCCGTCCGTCCCTTCAGTGACGCAGGGAAGCCTCAACTGCGTAACTGCTCAAGCCTTCTGGGGGCTTAGCGCGTGCCTGACCGATGGCGAATGTGGTGTCCGATGCGTCAGCCATGCCCACCTCTACATCCAGGTACGTGAGCACAGCTCTTTCCTTTGCCTTCACACACACAGAGACGTCGATCTTGTGTTGCGTGTGCTGTTTGCTTTAGTTCTGCGGGAGGGACCACAACGGTGACCACGGTCACTGCACATCCGTCCAATTCTACGAAGCATTCCGGGAAGGACTGGAGATGCAGTGTGGAGCACGCATACCCCACCGTCAACTTGGTAGGCCCAGGCAGTGCCCCCACGAGAGAGGTGTACGACAGCACTTCATGCCTGTATGGCTCGTTTTGTTCCTTCAGCGAATTGGCGCCCAACAGCCCCGCCGGCGCCCCGTTCTGGCCACGTCCCAAGTCTCGGCCTGTAGAGAACTATGAAGCCTTCAACTTGGCTGCCCTCGACGCCCTTGTGACCACTTCGTGCCCATACATACAAATGCATGCAGTAGCTTTGTCAATGTGGACCCAGTGTAGTCTCTGGGTCGCCGAGGGATGATTGACTGACTTGACGATTGAACTGTAGATAGCTTGACGATTGAGCTGTAGATAGCTTTGTTTTGTGAGAGAGAGTGCCTGTCATGGGACTGTGCTTTTGGTCAACGAACGGTTGTCGATAACTTGAGCGAAGAATGGAGACTCGATGGTGTGTGTGTGTTGCCTCGATGGGCACAGCCCAGGCCAACATGACGTGTGACTGAAGAAATTAATCAATGGGAGTCCAACCAATATCGCATGCAGGCAACGACGTGAACGAACGCACAGAAAACACACACACGTGCATTCAGAGGAGGGAGTCAGGCGTGCATGCGTATGCATATCCGCCGTTCGAACACGAATATTGAGTTCGGCAAAAAAGTGCAAAGTGAGGCTACGCTGCCCCGAGACAAACGGAGAGAGACCCGTTCGCACTGAGAGTGAGGAAAGCAATGCGAAAGGACAGGTGCAGCCCCCATGGTCGTGTGTATCATCCTGCCTTACAGAGGCGTATCGCATCGTCTGCAGCACCCACCTCTCTCGATTGGTCGTGTCCGCCGTCTGTGTGCCCGGCTGGCTGATTGTGTGATGTCTGTCCTTCCTGGACGAACTCGGGTGGGAATATGAGATGAGATGTGTAGAGGAAGGGACAAACAATCCGTGAGACACGCAGTGACGCACACGAAGGGGCGACAGCAAGAAACGAACCCCTCATCAGGGCGCAAAAATCCCATCGAAAGAAAGACCCGTATGCGGGGCGCGTCCTTGAAACCAATATGACACGCCCTCTGGCTCACGAAAGATAGAGAAAGTGCCACACACACAACCCCGTGTACAAATACGACCCTCCTCTTCGCGCAGACAGACACACAGACAGACAGACGACAGACACACAGATATATAGGCAGGCACAGGCAGGCAGGCAGGCAGGCACTCACTAAAATTTCGCGCATTCTCATGTTGTCTGTTTGTTTTTCGCGCGTGCGATGTCAGTAGACGAATGGACGGCACGCACGTGTATTGAGGGGGCGGGGGGAGGGGAGGGGAGGGGAGGGGCAGCGTGGGGTGAAGATGGGTGTCGCTCAAGGGAGTTCGCTCACTGCTCAATCAAAAGATGATGAGAGATAGTAGCTGAGGTCAGTTAGGTGCCATGTTCCATGCATTTCTGATGCATGCATGCATTCATCCGTCCGTCTGTCTATCCATCCGTGTACACATCACATCCTCCCTGCCTCCCTCCAATCCACATGTGTATAGGTTACACACACACACGGCCGGCCACCCCCCCACCCCATCCAATCCACCCACTTCGCGTATGCATTACGGGCGTACTGACTGAGGAGATAGAAAAACAGCCAATGACAGACACGGGAGGGAGGGGGACCGACGGACTGCAAAAACGCGACCCTCCACACAACAGATCGGTACGTCTGCGCAAAATACATACGAGCATGGTGCTACATAGGATCTCTCTCTCCCTCTCTCTCTCTCTGCATGCAGGCACATCACATGTACATGCGATATAGACGGCGGGCGAGCACGCACGTGGCCGGTCCAACCCTAGGAGCTGGTGAGCCGAGGCGCGCGAGCTCACTTTCATTCATTCTCGCGCTGAATGAATGCAGAGCACGCAAACGAGGAAGAAATGATCACATGCATACCAACATACGCACGAGCAAGACATACACACATACACACATACACACAGACATGAACAGCCACGCACACAAGGCAGGCATGAAAGCGGGAAGGGCATGCAGCAGCCAGCCAGTCAGTCAGACAGACAGACGGTAAGCATCCAGCCAACATACATCCATACCATGCACCCACCCGAGCAAGAATGACCATGTCATGACCATCAATCACCATACATACAGACGAGACAAAACTCCCCTTGATTGCTCCTTTCTCTCTTTCCCGCCCGGGGTGAGCAGAGCATGCACCTCTCCTCCCTACGCAGCCTCTGTCTGCTGTGTCTGCTGTGTCTGCTGCTGCTGCTGCCTGTTGGTGGCCGACTTGAGCATGCCGACCACCTTGTCGCGTGTGGCGTTGAGGAGCGGGGTGGCATGCTCCCGCACCCGCACCGACAGGCCCTCCAGGTTGCCCTTGAGGTTCTCAATGGACGTGTTGGTGTACTCCTTGACGGGCACCGGAATCTGCAGGTACCCCATGTACACCGCAGCACCGATGCCGCCCGCGAGCACGAGCAGTGCCAGGATGGTGATGAGGATGGTGCGGCAGAGGGTGGATCGGCGAGGGGGCTGTGGCGCGCCCAGCAGAGGGCCGCTGGGATCCTCCTCCGTCATGCGCGGGGCCTCGGACGCCTCGGCTATCGTCGGCACCTCAGTGCGGATCGATCGGTCGGTCATCATCGACTGACAAATATATAAACCAAGACACACAATCACCATCCGCCCCAGGTGTTGTGCCTCTGTCTGTCTGTGGTCTTCTGTCTGACCTTTTCCTGGGTCTCCTCTTGTGTGGTGTCCGTGGTGAGTGTGGCCCCGGTGGTCTCTCCGCCCTTGCTTCGCTCGACGGTCTTGCCCATGTCCTCGGTGCTCGCCGAAGCAGCAGGGGGCAGCTCCGCCTTGATCAACGGCCGGTGCTCCGCGTCAGGCTCGTCGCTGTCCTCACTCTTGCTCGGTGAATCCTGTAAGTAAGCAAACAGACACCAAAGACACCCATCCCATGAGAGAGGTTGTGGGTGCCAATCCTGTTAACTAGCCTTACTCCCCTCACCTGTCCGGGTGGCATGTCGGCCCTCTGCTGGTACTGCACGCTCGATGGCGAGGCCGTTGCGGTGGCGGTGGCCCTCTCCACGTCCACAGTGGCATCGACGTCATCTGGCGGCTGAGAGGGTTCTGGCTCCTCCTCGTTGACGACCAGCTGCGGCTCGCTGGATGACTGTGCGGGGGGCTGGGCGGGGGGAGGCGCCGCCGACGCAGTGGCTGACGGGCTGATCGAGGGATGCATAGATGGGATGGACAGGAGGGAGACAAATGTGCACTGCACATGTCTGTGAGTGTAGGGACCTTGGTGTCCGTGCGGTGCGTACCCCTCGATGAGCAGTTGTCCCTTTCCGTCGGTGGTGACGTCCCCGAACTTGCCGTCGTTGACCGCGAAGTTGGAGGCCTCGGGCATGATGAACATGCGGTTGATGGAGAAGTCCTCCCAAGACACCTGGTCGCCAGGCTTCGTAATGACGTACTTGTACTCCTGTTGGTGACAGACAGACACCAGCAAACACACACACAGGGTCCCAGTGGCCCACCGTTTGCCGTGTCTGTCTGCGTACGATCTGCATGCCGCTCTTGGACGATCTGAACTCGGTGACTGGCGACGACCACACGGGGAAGTTGTCCCCGTCTGTCGCCATCAACAACGCGTTGGACACCTGCCAAACAAAGGACACACACGGGCAACACAACACAACGTGGGTGAATGTCCTGGACATCCATCGATTGATCTGCGCTGCTCTCTTTCTGTGGCCGGCATCCCTACATCCCAAGATCTGCACACAGACAGACAGGCATACAACCGGGACAGATGGACATGACATGAAAACTGCACGTTGCTCTGCTCTGCTCTGCGCCTGGCTCCGCACGCATCTTGCTTACTTACCCCAGCTCGTCGATGTTGCCGACCACCCGCACGGATTCACCCTGGGAGAACCAACACAACAACCAAACCAGGCAAACCAGAGCAAGGAAGTGCGCCGAGACCAGACCACCGTGCGGGCAGTCGTCGTTGTGAGGCGTACCAGCGAGGTGTTGCAGGAGATCTGAACGAAGCAGACACGGCAACACACAGACAAGCACAGCGGGGTCACCGTTGCTCTGTGCCGTTTCCAGCGGTCTTCACCGATCTCCCTGATGGTAGATCGTGTGGTTCTCACCTTAAATTTTCCGAAGCTCGACATCGTGAGGGGAAGGAAGGACGCAGCGACGCCAAAAACTTCCCCTTCTCGCCCGTCCCCTTTGTTGCGAGCTCAAGGTATGCGAGCTAAGCGTAGGTTCGGAGCGTGTTTTCCGGAGATCTGCAGGCCTGTGCGGCCACGTTGTCGTAGAAGCGATGCCGTCATCGGGGCGTTTCCAGGTGCGGGACGGTGAAGAGAGCAACGGAGGGCGGGAAACGAAAGATGCGCTTGCCGACTGATCAATGGTGTGTCTGTTGTGTGTGGTCTGTCTGTGTGTGTTGGCGGTGTGCAGGTGACGTGTCAGACAGAGCTGGTAAGCACCGAGGCACTGAGGACCTATCTCTCTCACTTGTGGATCACATCTCCCTGTGCTATCATCACGGCTGTTGGTGTGCAGGGTGAGGAGGTCCGTGTTGTGGGCAGCATCGACGAGCTGGGCCGATGGGATGTAAGTCGCAAACACTGCCACACACCACAGACCGGACAGCGTCAACTGACGCATCCATCCATCGGTGGTGTGCTCGCCGCCCGTGTCACTCAGGTGTCGAAGGCCCTCCCCCTCACCACCGACGAGCGCAGCTACCCTCTGTGGTCCTCGGAGGTCATGAAGTACCCCTCGCTCAAGACAGGCATGAAAATGGTGGGTAACAACCTCTGCAACTCTCTTGCAACACAAGCAAGCGTTGGTTGCTTATTTGCGCTTGTGTGTAATGTCTGTCCTTAATGACTGCAATGCAGGAGTACAAGTATGTGGTGGTCACTCCCGATGGCGAGGTCAAGTGGGAGGAGTTCCCCCTCAACCGGCTGTTTGTGTTGCCGCCCTCGTCTCGCTTCCGCGTGACTGACGGGACGTTCGGTGAGATGTCGCCCAACGAGACCAACAGGTCCAAGGTCATTGTCGAGGTCTACGCACCCCCCGACTGGACAGTCGTCGATGGGTGAGGAAGGAACAGAAAACACCTTTAGAACAAACATGCCATGCCGTGCCAACGAGGTGTGGTGTCTGTCACATGCTTGAATGTCTGACAGGTCGTCGATGGAGTCCCCGTCGCCCAACGTCTCTCCCCAGTACTACCCGCCCTCTCTGCCCCCTCCCCCGCCCCCCAAGCAGCCCCTCACAGAGACCAGCGAGACGGTCGTCATAGTCACCAAGGAGACCCCGCCGCCAACCGCACCCATTCCCATACCCCAGCCAGAGGAAACAGTCCCCACCACAGTCCCCTCTCCCTCACCCGCAGCAGCATCGCCTGACGCCACCACAGTCAGCCCCTCGTCGTCAATCGCGCGTATGGCTGCTGTGCCTGCCCCGGAGGAGACCAAGGAGATGGGGTCGCCGACTCTGTCTGCCGAGGGCATGACGGCCGACAGCGAGGGAGATCTGGACGAGGGCAGCCATGCCCCCGTTACGGGGGAGGGTGTGGTGGTTATGAGCGACGTCAAAGAGGCCTTGTCGCGTATCTCGGAGGGTGAGGAACTGACCAACGATGATGTCAGCGGCGGTGAAACCAACAAAGTGCAGCAGCAGGTAAAGGGCAAGCCAAGCCAGCTCGTCATTCGTGTCTCATATCTGCAGACATTGTGTCGCTTTTTTGTCCGTGTGTCTTGCTGTTATATGCTCAGAGTGCCCCCGTGTGTGTGTCTGATGTACGCCAAGTGATGCCTCCCGCGCCTCCAAACCGGTCCCTGTTCGGCCCTTCCTCACGCAAGTCGACCCCTGCAGACATCGAACGATCCCGGGCATTCCTCAGCCGCATGTTCGGGGGCGTCTAGGGAGAAGAAAGGCAAGACTCAACCTCCGTGCCCTTCCTTCTTTTTCTCTGTGATTTTTCTGGCATACCAGACGCCTGCAATCAAATGATGGATGGATGCTAGGCTGCCTGTTGTCGCCTGTGACCGTTTGTTTTCATGTTTCACAGAGAGAGGGAGGGAGTTTTGGCGAGCAGGGCAAGATCGTAGGGAGGGAGGGGGGAGGAGAGGAACGAAAGAAGTGTTTCTGTCTCGGATTTTTCTCTTCTCACATCATGTGCACACAAGACATGGCTGCTTTATTCATTCATCCTTCCATCTATCCATCTGTCATCGCATCTTTTCTTTTCGTCCGTTTGGTCGTGTGTGGGAATGCGTCTGCACACTGACGGCGCAACGGCTGACAAGAGGGGCGCTCTTTTGGCTCCATCGAATGCATTGCGTTACATTGCGTATATCGCACACACATGGGACATGGGGGCAGAAGGAGGGGGAGGGGAGGGGAGGGACGGGAGAGACAGTGACTGACATATGCCGGGGTGTTTTTCAGTGAGGAGAAAGTGGGAGTGAGAGCTGCCGACCGGCCGGCCGGCCGACTAGAGGAGAGGGAGAAGTGTCTACTACCTGCCCATCCTGTCTGCCTCTATCGCTTCTATCCTTTCCTCTCTCAAACCAGACAGAGGCCATTTCCTTCCATTAATTGCGGTACTTAGTGAAAGCGCGGGGGGGCGGGGGGGCGGGGTGTAGTGCTGCGCTTGGCGGACAGTTGTATATATAGAGAGGGAGAGAGAGAGAGCACGATGAATTAGATAGATCCAACGACACGACACACATCAGACAGGCCGAGAGCAGGCAAGAAGAGCGAGCCAGACGGGCTGCGCACCGTCCATTCCCTTAGATTATCCAGTGCCGGCCGTTGCGTGAGTTTATTCAGAGAGAGATGATCCATCCATCCATGAGTGGCAGACTGCCTTGATCGCATCCATCTCACTCACCAGAGCAGGTTTTGTGCTGGCACCATGGACAAATTGGCAGGCACCTCCCGCAACCGAGAGCATAGCGTGTACTCGTGAATTCGGAATGACGTGTGTGCGTGTGGGGGAGGTGGTGGCTCGTTTTGGTGTAGTGACAGACACGACAGACACCCCTCGGTCTGGCGCGGCTGATGACTGATTGCTGGCAGGGCGCACACGGTGGGCATGGTGTCAGCACTCAAGTACCACGTGCATGACAGAGCAATAACTCAGGAAGTGTCACTTATCATAGTACACAGCACCCAAAAAGCTGACGACCGGTTCAATCACATCACACGACGACTGCAGGCTGGCCGGCTGTCATGGCCTCAGATCCTTGATCTGCCATGCATCGAGCTTCTTCTTCTGCCGCTCTATGTCACGGAGAACACCCGAGTGACGTTTCTGATAGATCAACAGGAAGAAGCACACACACAGGACAGGCAGGCAGCGATGTGACGATGGATGGGAATGACAGCGATCTCTCTCTCTTTTGGTCTGCTTACGTCCCTGTTGTCTTCTTTGTACCAGTTGACGTACACAAACATTCCCAGGAACCACACGCTGGCCGTGCCGACCCAAAAGAGCTCCCGCCTCGTCCAGGTGCTCATTCAAAGGCTCGGCTTCGGCGGCACGCCAAGCCCATGGACTCCTGAATGGCTGGCTGCACGATTCGCGCGCTCGCCTTAGGGTACTATGGAACCAAAGAGTTTCACGAAGTCTCTCAAACCCTAAGGTCAAACCCTAAGGAGGGAAGACTTGGAAGAAATCAACTCGCCGCGAGGGAGGACAAGGAAGGACATCGTCACACAGCAGATCCAGCCCACATCCACCCCAGATCCCATCAACGAATCGCATCAACCTCACTCAAGTGATCAGTCAATCGCACCAGCTCTCTCTCTGTACCTACCGCACATCCTTCCATCTATCGCACTCACCCGTCGCACTGAATGAAGGTTCCAGCAGCCGAGAAGCAGGGCGTCCCCACCGACCGCACCCTCGCCTTCCAGAAGGCGGCAACAGCCTCGGGCGGCGACGATGCCGAGCGGATCGTGCACCTCTTGCGCTCATGGGACACTGACGGAGATGGCATGTTCAGGTGGGCAAAGAGAGAAAGGGGGGCAGGGAGACACGCATGCGTGGGTGGGTGTGGGACTGACTGGTTCTGTGTGTGGGATGTTCGTGTGTGCAGCGTCCAGGAGGTGTTGTCGGCTGCCCGCCAGATGATGTCTGAGCGCAAGACCAACCGACGCCTTCTCTGGGTCATCGCTGGCGTGGCCGTCCTTTATGGTGAGTGAGATCACACCCCACACACACTGATCACTGAAGCATCCGTCATGCACACGCTCTCTCCCTCTGTGTGCCTGTGTGCAGTCCTCACCGTCGCGGTCCTCCTGGGCATCACTGTGGGCGCCGTCGAGCTCGCCAAGGATGCCAAACCCGACGAGAACGGCAACATGATCAACCTACACGGAGCCAAGGATGTCGTTCGTAAGTCAGACACGCACGGAAGGGACAAGGGAAAGAACACCGCTTTCTTGCAAAGTATGAGTGTCGGTTCTGTGGTGCTTGTCTCTTCTATCTGTAGACACCAAGGCGAAGACCGACGTCGCCTCCCCGTTCGACTTTGTGACTCAGAGCCTCGCCGACCTCGAACAGGTGACAAGGCACAAACGCACACCGCTCCTTCATTATCGGTGGTGATGGACGCATCTGTCTGCCCTCCCTCGTGTCATCGGTTATCTGTGTGCAGATCGACGCCCTGTACATTGACGATCTGCTCACCAAGGAGGGCAAGACGATCGAGAGATACTACAAGGTCATGACGGTCTCCAGAAGCAAGGACGACGGCTCCGTCAAGGTACGCAACACGACATGTCGAGTTGTTGCATCGCACCACTTTGGCCCACATCTCCTTCCCCTCTGGTCTCTCGCTGGTTGCCTGCAGGTCGAATTCTTCGGCGGCGACTACCTGGAGGTGGACAAGGAGCGTGCACTGCTCTTCCGGCCCAAACCGGAGAGCGGCTGTGGCGCCGAGGCCGAGGGCTTCGAGGCCCCCGAGGGTTTCTGTCCCGTCGCCGAGATCATCAACGGGGCCGACCCTCGTGACGCTGAGGCGAGCGGGGAGCCCGACGCCAGACGTCTGCTGCGCGACGGCCGCCAGCTGCAGGCCAGAACCTCCATCGTCGGGCCCGCCTACAACACTGGCCCGCGCGGCGTCGGCGGCAACATCAATTTCAATACGGGCCGCATCTACGGCAGCGGTAAGGACGACGAACGTCACACGTGGCCTCATTCTATCATGTGCGCCAACCTCTCTGTATGTATGTGTGTTTTGTGGTGTGTTGCAGATGGCATCGTGTCCTTGGGCAGATCGCGGTTCTTCGGGCAAGGCCAGTTCCGCAGCTGCAATGGGCCTGCGTGCTCGTTCTAAGGGACACCTATCGCGACAGGCGACGTCTCCGGGGTAGGGGAGGGGTAGGTTTTTTTTCGCTCGTTCGTGTAGGCGTACATGTGTGCGTAGCCTGCTGCCTGCCTCACCACTGCTTTTTTTCTCGGGGCGAGGCAGGCCTGTCTGCTCGCGGATTGCACAGGGGGGTGTCTGTGGGGTTCTGCTGAGGCGCGAGTGTCTCTCTCGGCGTGTGTCGGTCGTGTCACTGGGCCGAGTCTTCTCAGCCAGCCCTGTCTTGTCTTGTCGACCACCGGGTGTATTTGATCCATTCCTTCATGTGTGGCGTGGCTTCCAGCCACTACCTACTCGCTTCCCTGCCTGCCTGCCTGCCCATCACGCACTCACTTGGCGCGCAGCCTGTCTGTCCATTTGCCTACTTGCTCCCTGGTGCATGTGCATATATTCATGTCTGTCTGTCTGTCTGTCTGCGTGGACGTTTTTCCGTATTCCCATCCCCTCGCTGCACCCTCCCCCCGCGTGCGTGTCTGCGCGTGTGTGTTTGTGCCGCTCTTTTATGGAGCTGGACGTGCGTGCTGGCATGCTCTCTGGGGCGGTGGGTGCGTGAGACGGTTTTCTAGTCGTGCGTGCGGTGTATCGAAGCACCTATATGCCAGTCAGTCGTGGCGCATGCTTGTTTATGTGATGTCTAAATGTCGTGTGTCTCAGTCTTGTGTAGGTGCATATATCACATCCATACTTTCTTCTTCACACGGACCGCTCAGCGTGTGGGGGGATGGACAGGACTTGGGGACGGACGGCTGCATCATTCATCGATTCTACTGAATGGCATTACTTCCACCATTCTTTGTAGAAATGGATCACACGACTCGCATGTAGTCATGGAAATAATATGACACCACACAAAGCCACACGTTGTCCATCCATCCATCCATCCATTCGTCGATCATTTTCTGAGTCTTTCACAAATAGGCAGTGCCTGTCTGTCTGTCTGTCTGTCTGTCTGTCGACCAGCCATACACTCATCTCATACCAATGCTAGAAGGGCCCCCCCGTCCCCCCGACCCGAGGGAGAGCTTGACAGCCGCCCCAGCTGCCGGCACCAGCTCCTCCGCGCCCCTGTCCTCCCCCCGCCTCAGTGCACGGTTCCTTCTCCGCAAAAGTGCTAGCTTCTCGGGCGCCTGCGTCTTGACGAGGTTGAGGCGGTCCCGCAGGTCGGAGTAGTCCTCGCTCTCTACCACCTTGCACTTGTAGTATAAGTCGCGCCGCTTCTTGGGGTAGAGGTAGAGCATCAGGAAGTCGGCTGCCAGGGTGGCGGTGCGGAGGAGGGCCATGCAGGCGCCTATCTGGATGACAATGAGGGTGAGGGCGACCTTCCTGCCGATGCCCTGCGAGTCGACGAGGATGCGGATGCCCCGCATAAAGTACGCGTCTCGCCGGTCGGTCTTGCTGCCGCTGTCTCGGTAGTGGTGCGCTCTCTTCTGCGTGAAGCCCCCACTCTGGGTGCCGATCTGCTCTGTGGTCGATGCGTTGAAGTCACGATCCAGCCGCTCCACCTTGACGTCATACGGCTCACACTTCATCGTGACGTCGCAGTCCCACAGGAAAGTGACCCCCAGCAGGACGCCGGTGTCGCTCACGGCGTCGATGGTCAGCGATGAATGAGTTTTGTTGAGCAGCCCTGCCAGGGTGATGTTGCGGAACTCAGGGATGGAGGCCACAAAGAGGTAGTTGCCGATGTTAGGGAAGGCGATGCCCGCCTGCAGGTCGAGGACGAGCTTGTCCAGCCCCTTGACCTTGGTGATCTCCATGTCGCTCGACTTGTCGGCCGTGGCCTCATTGATGGTCGGACACCAGTTGGCGCCCTTGCAGTGCTTTGTGGCCTCGTCACACGTGGCTGGCGGCCGGCAGGGACACGGGTCGGTGAAGTCAACGCAGTCGCCCACCTGCTGGCCCCTCTGCACCATGATCTTTGAAGCGATGAAAACGCCTGAAGCCTCGATCTCTGGGAAGCGGAGGTCGGATATGTCAAAGGCCCTCTGGGGGTTGGCGGCGTCGATGCTCTTGCCCTTGACTTTGGCTACGATAAACCCGTTGCCGGGCTCTTGGAACTGGTGGCGGCCCTGCTTCCACAGATTGAAGATGGCGAAATACAGAATGATCATTGTCACAATGCTCCAATACAGAAGTCCCAGCCACCGATCCTGAAGCCATCCATCCATCCATATGTGTGTGTGGGTGTGTTGGCTGCAAGGCAATGGTGATGCACCTCACCTGGATGTTGACGACTTTGAATGTGCGGTACCTGCACAGCACAGAATGGACAGCGCGCCGCAGCACACAGACCGATGCACAGTGTGGATGCGTCAGATCTGTCCATCAACTCACGCGAACACACGGTCAAGATCCACTCCACAGAAAAGCTGCGGATCCTCATCCCCCTCGCGATGGTACGCACCGCTTGCTGCTGCTGCTGCAGCGGCGCTGGACGACGTGTGCTGCGCTCCTGGGCCGCCAGACATTGCAGGAAGCCTCTTCCCTCGGAGATTTACGTCAAAGCTCGCAACCATGAACCCGCTGCGTCTACCCTTAGAGCCCAAAGGCCATGATTGCAGCCGCGTGCTCTGCTGTTTGTAGCGGGGAAACAGCACCTGCAGATCTTGGCGCCTCGTCCTGATAGCTTATCGCGATGTTTGGTGGCGGCCTTGGCGGTGCGAGCGCAGTCAACTACAACACCAACGGCGACTACGAGGTGCCCCAATGCCCCACAGACGGTACGAATGAATGACCTGACGTGCCGGTGAAGATGTCAATCGTCCATCGCTCCGTCTGCTCGTGTGGTTGGTTCGTTAGGTATATCTGAAGTAGCTTGGGCGAAGGGTCGCAACATTCTCGCGTGTGCGTCATGGGACAAGAGTGTGCGGATATGGGAAGTGACGGCGCAGCAGAGTGAGGGAGGGGAGGGCGGCAGAGAGGGATGGGGGGGAAGAAGAACGCGTTTGTGCGTGTCATGCGTTTCGTGTGTGGCATCTAATCTCCTGTTGTGTTCCATCAGCGTTTGGTGCCGCCGGTGGGTACACGGCAGCGCCCAAGGTGTCGTACAACCACGAGAGCCCGGCACTCACATGCGAATTCTCACACGTGAGCAACATTGGCTGAAGAGGACAGACAGACAGACAGGCAGACAGCCTAGAGCCAGGCAGGAGTCATGTTGTCCTTTCTGTCCTTTGCGTGTGTTAGGATATGCAATACCTGTGGAGCGCTGGCTGCGACAAGAAGATCAAAGTGTGCAACCTGGGGGCGGCGGGCAACCCCACACAGGTGAGGTCGGTCAGGAGAGCGAGCGCACAAGAGAGGACACATACACACATGCCCATCCCTGATGCGATCGTCTGACTGTGTGTCCATCTCATCTGCCTGTTGGTGTCATGTCCTGTGACGTGACAGGACTGTGGTACCCATGATGCGCCTATTCGGCATATCAAGTGGTGTCAGGAGCTCAACATGCTCATATCTGGTACGTGCCTCCCACATATATCAGCGACACCTACCTGCATTGTTCGGCTCTGTTTCTGTCAGGCGGTTGGGATCGTACGTTGAAGTTCTGGGATTTCAGGCAGGGGCAGCAGGCCACCACGCTGCAGCTCCCAGAACGGGTGGCTGATTGGAAGGAAGGGGCGGAAAGACGCGCAAAAGGCGACCATCAATCTTTCACTTCACTGGCGCTGTTGTGTCCTTGTCATGTCAGTGCTATGCTATGGATTTGAAGTACCCTGTGTTGGTTGTGGGCACGGCTGACCTGCACGTGCTCATCTACAACCTCCAGAACATACAGCAGACCGGCGCGCCCGTCAAGGTAAGTAAGGTACACAGGCAAGACAAGACGTCAATCAGCCGAGCCCTGTCAATGCATTGCAATGCGTTGTGTGTGTGAATGATGTAATGTGTGCAGACGGTGACGTCCAACCTGAAGATGCAGACGCGTTGTGTGTCCATCTTCACCGACAAGACGGGATGGGCTACGGGGTCGGTGGAGGGGCGCGTGTACATCGCATACATCGACGAGAGCCAGTCGTAAGACACTCACACCCACACCACACCACACCACACCACACCACACAACATCCACCGCACACACCTGCCTGACGGTGGTTGATTGTGGTGCGTGCTGTCTGTGCAAGCTCCAGTGGCAAGAGTTTTGCGTTCAAGTGTCACCGTGTGGATCGCGGTCACAACGAGAGCGACATCTACCCCGTCAACTCCATCGACTTTCATCCCCAGTTCGGCACATTCGCCACCACGGTGCAATGCACTTGACGAGGTGGCGCCCTGGTCTGATTGATGTTGTGATTCACTTATTGCAGGGATCTGATGGGACGTTTGTGTTCTGGGACAAGGATAACAAGCAGAGGTCAGAGGCACGCAGGCCGAGAGGAGAGGAGGGAGGGCAGCGATGGAGGATATCGTGCGTCTGTCTGCCTCATATTTATTGTATGCACAGGTTGAAGCAGTTCAAGCCCGTCAACATCGCCATCCCCTGCGCCCGCTTCAACTATGACGGCTCCATCTTCGCATACGCCTGCTCATACGACTGGCACAAAGTGCATCCAACACGCAACCCACAACAGCCACCCACACGCAAGGTGAGGTGGCTGTCTGTTGTGTCGTTGTCTATCAGGGTCACGATGGCGCTCTCTCGACCAACCCGAACAAGATCTTGCTGCACAGGGTGGGTAGAGTGGAGGGCCAACGATGGATGGATGGATTGCCACGCGTGTGTTGTGTTGATGGGATGGATGGATGCCACGCAGGTGACCGAAGACGAGATCAAGAACAAGAAACCACAAGGCGGTGAGGGAGAAGTGCAATGAATGAAGAAGGGGTCAATGCACAGCCTTAATTGTGGGTCCCCACTGGTTGCTTTCGTTCGAACAGGTGGTGGCCGCCGATAGACAGCGGGACGGGATGGGACAGGATGTGCGCATCTATCCCTCTAGAGCTGCGTTCGTTGGGGGGATACTGGTGGGTGGGTGGGTGGATGGATGGATGGATGTTGTACAGCTGTTCGTTCCATTCATGCATGATTGCGATGCTTTATACATTCACGCGCGTGGCGGACTGGGTGAGTGTCCTGTGAATGATAATTCTCTGTGTCACCGTGATACTCCGAGATTCTGTCAGGCATTCACCGCCATGTGTCGAAGTCCAATGCATACGCATACCAGAAAACCATCGCCACATTTTACCAGCTCAGCACCAGTGCTGATACCCATTATTGACAGCGAAAAGGACCTTCCCCCCCACCCCCATCTCGATACAGTCTCGATGCGATATCACACCGACAGGCGTCTGCATGATCCACAGACCTGACGGACATGGACGCAAGCCATCGATCGAGGGCTGGCTGGATGCGCACGTGCATATGACCTCATCGCTCACCAGTATTGAAGCGTGTGCGATGCTTGAGCTCATGTGGCAGGAGCCATATGTCACGGCTGGGCTTGGACACAACACGAACATTCCGAATCACAGGGGCACCTGCAACCCCGCAGATAAGCAGAGATCTCACATTTGGTCGTCCGTCTGTGCCCATCTATGTATCGTTTCATCGCACCGCTGACCTTGATATTGTTTGAGCAGTATCCTGATCTTGATGCCCTCCACCCTGAAGCCCCGGATGTAGCCCTCGCGTGTGAGGAGGTCCAGGATCTGCACACTCAAGGGAGTGTAGACGGTGCGCTGCTCCAGGGCCTTGGTCCGCAGCAGCGCAACCACCATCTCACACGCATGCTGAAGAGATGAAACCACATCCATTCGGTCGGCCAGTGCGCTGCGTCCTTTGTTTCTTCTCCCACCTGCATTGAGGACGGTCAGCAAAAAGCGCCTGGATCAGCGCATTGGTGCTCAAACATCCTGCCTTGGGGCACGTTGCGCGAAACGGAAGTTTCAGCCATACACTTGCAGAAGAGATCTGACATTCCCACGGTCCCCTGGCTTGCTGCAGCCCTTCCACTTGAATCAACTGGTGGCGAGAAGACGCAAACAATGAACACGGCTGCCATTCTTGCAAGGAACGGGAGAGCATTGTTGCAGCTGGACCATGAGCTGAACGGCACTGCAAGCGGCAGTAAGGCGTGCCTATGGACGACTCATTGACTGAAGGACAGCTTTATGTTCTTTACATGGCGTCAGACAGCCAGCACAGACCAAGTCTCACGGCGCTGTTCATCAAGCCTTTCGGGCAGCCAGTGACCGAAATGCCACAGTGATGTCCAATACAGAAGAAATATCAGGGGTACCGCACGGGCACAGGCAGCCTAATCATTGCGAATAAATCGTCCAGTATCGACTCCCAAGGCCGTCATAAATCAAAGAATGCAACCACGTGTGTGCCCCGTGGGGCGAGGCGTCGTGTGTGCCCGTAACGTGCTTTCTTTCAAGTGACCCTGGTGGGCAGTGCAGTTATTTCTGATTCGGCATGACTGGTGACTCGCATTTATCCTTTCGATTCGATAGCTTGCATCGCATCTGCTATTCTCTGATGTCACCATTGCTATGTTGAACCGCCATGAGACGACAAGAGAAAAGAAACAACACTAAGACCACCCCAATCCCATCCCCAGTACGCTGGTCAATGAGTGATCCAAACACACAGGCTGCCTCAGGCCCATCTCCTCACACACCACACCCATGACCTCCTTCCGAACGCGCTGCTCAAGCGACAGATGATTCACCAACACGACTATGGACACGTTCTCCTGAGGATACGATACAGCGAACGATCCCCCAAACGACTGATACCCTACTGCCTCACTCCGACCATCAGCCCATCGCCTTATTGACTCTGAAGGAAGAGGGAAGGAAGGGGAAGGCGAGCGCTGCTGGCCAAGCCCAAGGCCTCCGCGGGCAGCAGGAGGGGACGGCGTACAAGCAGACGGAGAGGGGTCACCCACGCGCAGCACTTCCAAGCCCTCAGAAAAGCTGCCGAACAGCATAGGAAAGCCATGAAGCGAAGAAAGAAAAGCTCTCTCGTGTGCCTGTGCCTCACCATCTCCTCCCGAAGAGCACTGAGTCCTCTGAGGCCTTCGCCACCAGCAGTCGCCTCCGCGAGTCGCTGTCCAGCGTGGAAAACAACCCCCTCCCCCTGAGATCGTGCCACGTCATGGCCGAGAGGAGCGATGCCAACGCACGTGCAGACGCGTAAACGCCAAGCGCCGGCGGTGGGCTGGCGCGCACGCGCTGCGCATTGAGCATGGAAGGGTCCGTGACGATCTCGGTCATCGATGCCAGCTGCCCAAAGATGCCGCCTGTTGCCGAGAAAGGCCCATGCTCCCACTCTTCCCGCTTGCTGTCGTTCTCATCCTTGCTCTCAAATAGCGCACCGATGTCATCGAGATGAAGAGAGAAGAGGGCCGCCGCGGCTTTGGCGATTCCATTCGACACAAGGGCGATGGATCTGCCGCCCTCGTCACGACCCAGCGCCCCCCCGCCACCACCCTCTGTTTCAGTCTCGAGGCCAAATCGAAGCTCATTCTCCACGCGCAGCGCCCTCGCCAGTCGTTGAGTGAGTCGACTCAATGACACGTCCCCTCCAGCTGCCTTCAGCAGACGGCCACAGATCACGCCCATGACATGGTTGTGATACTTGGCCGTGCCACGGTCGCGTGTCGGCTTGGCTCGACAGACCATGGCCTCCACCTTAGATGGGTCCAAGAGGTCGCTGGCGGGCGTTTGTGGTGGGACGGCGCTCGCCAGTCCAGCCGTGTGCGATAGCACCTCGCCGCATGTCACGTCGCTCTTGAAATCGGGCCAGTGGCTGCTCACAGGATCGTCAAGACTCATCCTCCTCTCGGCGACGGAAGAGTAGATGAGAGCCGTCAAGACTACCTTCGATAAATCCATGGCCGGCATCAGCGTGTGCTCGTCCACTGGCCGCGCATCACTTCCCCCCACTACGCCGGCTGCCAGGCTGACGAGTGGACTCATACACTCACCTCTCATGATGGCCACCTGAATGCCGAGTGACTGCTCATCATCCTCCCACAGGCTGGCGACAAGGTTGCGCAGACGCTGCTCGAGGCGAGACGGAACACAAGAGGGTGGAAGGGGCGCGAGGTGCGCGAGGGCACGCTGGTCGGGAGGGGTGCTGGAAAGAATAGTGAGACGCGCGTAGAGGGACATGGTATCCAGGTACGACACCTGAAGAATACGTACACATCCAGATATCATACATGCCATGCGCCGACTGAGTGGATTGCGTGCTGTTTGGCATTACTTTCGTGTCGAGGGTGACCGACAGGCCGCGAATGAGGCCCAGGACACGGAAGATAAAGCCGAGCTCGTCTGGAATCTGCGTCATGAAACGACTGACGAAAACAGAAAGGAGAAAGGTAGCTGATGGACAGGTGAGCAGATGGCAATGTGTTCCGTGCCTTTCGGTGTTTCCTTCGCTTCGGTCTCGCTCTCTTTGTTTCCTCCTCATACGAAAGAACTTCTTGGTGTCTTCGTAACTCTCGTCCCTGAGAGGAACGCCAGTCACTGTGTACATCAGCTCGCTCCTTCTCCGTTGTGCCTCTTACTTAGTCTTTGTGTCCCTCATAAGGTAGCGAAAGAACTCTAGGTCGCGCTCGGGTTTGTGGTCCGACTGTGAGTTGGCGTACCCCACATCGCGCAGGGCTTTCGCTGCTCCCTCCACATCAAACTCATGTAAGCTCGTCACGAGCTGACAGTAGTGGACTCGCTGGGCAGGGGTAATCGATAGCGACATCCCAAAGTCGAGGAGCACCAGTTTAGCCTGGTCGCCATCGATGGACACCATCAGATTGCCGGCGTGGGCTGCACACACACACGCCGATTGGGTGCGTGGGGTGGGCGTGCGTGGGTGGCTATGTTCGTTGACTGACGATCAGCATTGAAGAAGCCCCACGTGAATAGCTGCTGCGAGTACACCTGAAGAACACGCATAGATGCACCGACAGAGTGGATTGCGTGCCGTTTGGCATTCGTACCTGTATGACTCTGAGCATAAGATGCCTGGTGTCGACCTGATAGAGGGCCAGCTGGTCCTTATCGGTCAATTTGAATCCGTGAATGAACGACATCGTTAGGACGCGTGGCGAAGTTAACGACAGGTGAGGCGTGGGGACGATGACATCAGACAAACTGACAGACAAAATCGAGACAAAGGGGGTCTTCTGCCGGCCTTTTCCTAGTGAGCCCCGTTCTCCCTTCAGATGGTTACCCTCCGTCCTTAATGTGTCGTGCCATCTTGATCAAATTGTCAGCTTCTTGCCGAAAGTCCAGCTCCTTATCCATGACCTTCTGCTGCCAGGCCTGCGCGAGAAATCCAGGACGCAAACCGATTCCGTCATGTTTAATGTATCCATCCATTTCTCTCTCCGGTGTGTGTCTGTGTGTGTCTGTGTGTGTGCATTGTCGATGCATCGTTTCACCCAAATGTCTGTACCTGAAGCACTTGAAGAATCACTCCGAGCTGCGACATGCACGTGAGTGAAATCATTTGTTGTGTTGTGTTTTGCTGTGCGTCGTTGAGTGATCTGACCTGTGGGTTGAGCCACTGGAGTGTCCTGGCAATGCACAGGGCGTAGAACAAATCACTCCTGACCAGCTGCGCTATGCCCCTGTGCTGGAGCTTGATCACCACCTCATCGCCAGACCGTAGGACGGCGTGATGGACCTGGGCGATTGAGGCACTGGCCATGGGGGTCATGTCAAAGAACGAGAACAGCTCATCGAGCTCGCAACCAAACTCCTCGCGGATTACACGCCGGACATAGCCTGGTGGACACGCTGGCAGGTCATCCTGAAGGAACAGCAAAAAAGGATCAACGCCGTCTCCTCCTTCAGGGTGCCAGGTGTTGCTACGTTTCTGTTTACCTGCAGCTTTGCCAGCGTCTGGCTCCATTCTCTCGGCACGATATCAGCTCGCCTGCGAAGTGACAGAGCACCAACGATACCACTGTATACTCACCAATACGCACGCATTCATGCTGCTTACCCGCCTAGGTATTGCCCAAACTTTACGAAAAGACTTTGCAGCCGGATGAAAGTGTCGCAGACATAGGGCGCCAGCCAACAATCGAGAGTAGCGAAGAGCCGTAGCCGCTCGGCCCCCTCTATGCCCCTTCTCTCCACCCACTTGTTGACGACAAAGTACATGCCTATGCTGAACGTTGCGCTTGTCGCGATCATGACTCCCCTTCTCAGCTTGGAAAAGAGAGAGACAGGTATCATCAGCAAGAGTGCCAGTATCCCCGTGAGAATCTTGCGAGCCATCATGGCATGCAGCAGTCGACTGCATTGGACTGCAAGCAGTCGGTTCCATGAACTGAGCCCTGCCGTCCGGCCAAAAAGAAGTAGCCGCAGCGCGAGTGACAGGAAGACCGCAAATGCTCCGCAGGCGTCCGAAAGAGCGAAGAAGACGGTGAAGGCCAAGCTGAGGACGGTCGCGGAGGCGGATGAAGGAACGATATCGCCGAGGAGCGGCCATGAGACGGGGAACACAATCAGCAACCACACGAGGATGCCCAGTGCTGTTCTCAGCGTCCCCATCCACCTCTCGTAGGCACCTTTCGCATCACCCGTTCCGCTGTCTGAAAACAGCCTCCACCCCCCGAGCGCGCTCTTAGTCTGCTGCACCATCCTCTCCAACCGATGCATCCTCCGCAAAAGCTGCTGCTGGCTCTGATGGTTGGCGAGCACGGCACCCTGACACTTGATGGGCTCACGTTGCTCTCGGGAGATCTGGCCCTTGAGTCGATTGGCGAGAATGCCCTCGTCTGTCGCAGTCGGGTCAAGCAGGCCGCCTCCCTGTTGACGTGGTTCCTGGACGGACCGTGTCGCCTCGGGCGAGTTGGTGGCCGCGCTCGCGGGCAGACGGATCGACGCGATAGCTGTTGTTTGCTCGCGGGTGGTGTTGACCGACGTGAGGAAGGCGGGGTTGACGCCGCGCCTCGTGTTTGTTGACGTGCTAGTAGTCTCGACAAATGACGGCGAGAGAGACGGTGACTCTTTCGCTCGCCTCTCGGCTGCAAACGGCTGGAGTAGACCTGAAGCAAGTGCCGCGCATTCGTTGCACAGGCGGCGTCTGAAAAGACAACATAATCTCACTTCCTCAAAGAGTGCTGAACTCCTACACAGTGCACCAACTCTTCCTTCCTTTGCTCTTGTTCTCACCGAAACAGGCGGTGTTTGCTGCATCTCCCACAGCAGAGGACCCCGCACACCTGCAGAGAAGAGACGATGATAAACTGTGTCGATCATCTGTCCCGCCGCGGCTCACCCTGCAGTGATGGCGCCGCTTGACGAGGGTAAATCGAGAGCCACATCGTGTGCAAGTAGGGCCATTCGGCGCCCACTGTCCGCGAGTGAGCAGCAGTTTACCCTCCTCCCTCTCGCGCACTTCACCCTCCCTGACGCGCCTCGCGGCCGACATGAGAAGAGGAATCAGTGACTTGATCATGCCCTTGTCCCCGTCGATGCGCACATGCCCCTTAATCACGGCCGTGACTGGATTCAGCCGCCTTTCGAGGAGCAACTGCAGTCCCTGCAAACCAACGAGTTAATCAATACATCCATCCCATGCACCTTTTGTCTCATATAATCCATCCACATGAGTGGATGTCCGTATCTGTGTGCCTACTTCTCCGCTCAGTGTGACGCTCGTGGCGACCTGCGACTCGCGTATGCCATTGCTGGGGTGGAGTGGTCGGAGGCTCGAGAGATCGGTGGTCACGCGGGGCTGGCCATGTGCATCGATGCCGAGATAGTAGATGTGCGGTGTGGTGTCGGACGCCAGCACCAGCTTCACGACTCTGTTATCTCGTTGCATGGCTGCTGGTGGACTCCACGATCTGAGAGAGTCTTGAACAGCCTCAACGAAAGGGGCAACGGTCACCTCCATGTTTCAAAAACTCGACCTGTGTTTTATCTTGCTTGGTTGGTTATTGTGTTTAACGAGACTCGTGTCTGTGATCTTGGTCTAAGCACAGCTCGCTAGTGTTTCGTTTCACGCAGCCCCGCCCGAGTCTGTGTTTGCACTGCACACAGCCATTTAAATGGTGCTGGAGGTCTTTCATTCTGTTGTAGGTCCGCCGCTACGCAAAAAGGGACACAGGCTGTTTGCAGTCTCCTGGGCCAAAAACAAGCCCAACATAACACAAGCAGCAGCCCACTTTGACAAAAGAACGAAAGCTAAGTCACGTCACCCAGCAGCCCCCAAACTTATCGCCGGCTGCTGTCCGTCTGTACCTTGGCATATAACATCGGGTCGCGGACCTGCAGATGAGGGTGGTCAGATTGAGATGACATGCCAGACACCAGTCAGATTGCCAGTGCACCTTTGAACAGCGTGGCTGTTGTCTTACGTTCGTCATGGAATACATAGTGTAGACGGCACCCAGGGCGCCAAGCACCAACGTCACCGACACCCTGGAGAAAGCAACAATGCGCACAAGCTATTTCCGCATTCACAACGGATCCTCCTCATGACTGACTATCTTGTCCTACCATAGAGTGATCTGGAATTGTGTGGTGTGAACTGCCTCTCCTTGGCCCTTATTCGTTGTCGGTTGTGCAGCCCTGGGCGTCGCGGACGGCTTGGCAGCGCCAGCCTGGGGAGCTGCGGGCTGGGCAACTGTTGGCTTTGCGGTTCCCGTCGTGCCAGCAGGTTGCGAAGCATCCTGCAACGACTGTAAGCACCCATACGCGAGAAGCACATGTGCAGTAGCCAACAACTTCGGTTTCGTGTGCTTACTCGTTTAGTATGTGCAACAGACGTCTGGAGCAGGTGGATGAGGGCGGTGGGCGACTCGTGGATGGGGGCCGAGATGTTGGTGGAACTCGTGCGCCAAGTGTCCTGAACACGGTGAGGAATCTGAGACTCCTGCAGACACAAAGGACACAAATGCACGAGTGCAAGCCATGAGTGTCAGCTTCGCATTTGCACCTGTCCGTGCACAGGAGGCTTCAGGTTGAGAACGGCACCCCACATGTGACCGTCACTCTGCTTCTTCGCCGATGTCAACACCTACAGGGGCAAGGAGAGCAAGCAAAGGTCGGAGCATGCATTGCGGACATTGGTTCATCTTTTGTGTACTGTACCTGGTCAACTGCATGCATGGTAAGCGCCGATGCAAGCTGATGTTCCATGCTACCCTTCCCGTAGCGGTCAGCAGCACACTGAAACACCAATCGCGAGATGGAACGAGGCTATATGAATACATGACTCTTCCGCCTCACCTTGGTTCCAAGTGTTGGAGCGAGCATCATGACGATTGGACGGCCCTCGGCCTCAGCAACTACACGGCTCCTCTGCATGACACAAAACGCACAGGCACACATGCGTCTGGTATGCTCCGCATGCCCACCCCCATGACCCTCCCTCACCGCTAGAGAGGAGAGAGCGGCTGTTTCGCCCATCATGACCCTTGTGCAGTGATGGTTGGCGTCGAGGGTGCCCTCAAGGTCGAGGAACGACATCTTGAGCACGTCAGGCGCCTCGCCAGGTGTGCTCTGCATCACTTCGACAGCTCCAAGGTCGCCTATCAGGCCTTGAACGGCGTCGAGCTGCAGCACTTGGCTAAGGGGGGCGGGAGGGACGGAGGGGTTCTCCTCGAGACCACTCAAAGCGGACCGCATCGTCTCAGCAGCCTGAAATGCGGGCGACAGTCGAGAGGATCGTCATGACGCTGTGTGCAAGGCAAAGGGGCGCGTATTCTACCTGCTTGTTGGCATTTTTCACAGCCGGAGAGTTGAGATGCTGGAACTGGTTACAGGACCCCAGCTCGAGAAATTGGGGGTCACCGGACACGCAGACGGTCAGAGGGCCGTCAGACTGAGGACACGCAAAAGGCAGCGACAGTCCACGCCGTGGAAGCGCATGAGTTGGTGTGACCTTACAGTAGACGTGGAAGATAGGAGCTCCTCAGTTATTGTGGTTGCGAGTGGGCGAGACTCTGCTACCTCGAGGAAGGCAGTCACCTGGTGACCTGGCAATGGGCAACGAGTCACTCATCGGGTGCGCATCCATCACGTCGGCCTCTTCCCTTCTGTATTTACCGTGTTCATCAACCCAGCTAGGTGCCACGACCCCGTGGCTGCCAGAGGGACTTCGAGTCAAAACCGACGTGGTAACGCACAGCTGAAGGCAAAAGCAAACGCGAGCAGCGGATGAATGGGCGTCACGCGGACATCGCCGTACACGTGCGTAGCCTACCGATGTCTGGCATGACGATTCCAGCACCGTGGACTCTTTATCTTTGGGGTCCAGACTGAAGTAGTCGGACTTGAACGCAGGCTTTTCTGGCACACGACCATCAACACACGAAAGAGGTCCAGCTGTCACAAATGAATGCATGATCCCTACGAACACGCACCTGGGAACGATTCAAGAAAGACGACCGCCTGAAGAGCACAGAGGGCCAATAAGCCATCACAGCCACGTGTATTGACCTTCTCGTCAACGTACCGATACACGTGGTTTCTGGAAGATGTTCGATGCCGCCTTGGTCGTGTACAGGTCAGTGAGCAGGGCTGTGGCAGCTTCATGACGCGGCGCCAGGCCTACCTCATGGCCCAGCAGGTCACCAAGCAGCTCATCGCTCACGCTTGGCAGGTGTGTGGCGGCTTCATAGAAGGGGAAGTACACCTCGCCAACTGCAGCGGTTGCAGCCTACCAAACACATGAATACCAATGCTTTCCAGATGTTTCTCCGCCCTGGCTTCTCCGTGCCACCTTGCTGCATCACTGCACTCACCAGAGCTGACTTGAGCGTCCCCTGCGCCAACGCAAGCACCAGCAATGCTCCGCTGATGGGCATCGTGGCTCCCTTTCTGTGCTCTGAGAGCACTTCCAGGCAGTCCCGTGTCGATGGCCCTTCGACGATAATCTGAGTGCTGCACCCTCTTCAGGGCAGGCCGTGAAAGTTTTCTAATGAGGCAGGAAAACCCATGGAAACCACGTGAGATCCCTAAGGCGAGAGCAATCCGAGGAAACAATGGTCTTTTCATGGGCGAAATGGGCTGAGCTGTCGTTGGCAGTCATCTTTGCGTCCATTCTTTTCACTTTCAATCGTCCAAGCGACGCCTTTCGGATCCCCTTATCACTGCAACGTTCGCTATCTCGGCAACCAACTCGCCTGAAGGAGAGGCATCAAGATGCGGGTTCAGCAAATGAGGCAGATGCTTTGATCTCGAGGAGGCGCCTTATCGAGGGGCTGCCTGTTGCTGGGCTGCTGCTGATCCCAGCAGCAGGCACTCCAGCGCGGGCTGACGATGAGAAGCTGGAATACATGCCCGGACTGGTCACTGGCGGATCCCAGCGCTTCGGCAAGACGAGAGCAAAGTGAGTCAAATGAGGCTACTCTGCGCACATGGGTGAATGGCTGGTTGATGTGTTTGTGCGCAGGTATCCTGATTTTGAGCAGACTGCCTCTGGTATGTGCGTGAGGTCGTCACGTCACGCACACCGTCTCTCAGTACTGCACGCCTGACGCTTTCTGCATGTTTGTCAGGTCTTCAGTTCAAAGACGTCAAGGAGGGTGAGGGGACACCGCCTGCCAAGGGAGACCGAGTGGTGCTTGACTGGGAGGGATACACAATAGGTTACTATGGTACGGTAGGCATGGAGGAGCGGGCTTTGCAATGCCACGTCCAGCGACATGTGCGTCGTTCAGGTCGTATCTTCGAGAAGAAGAGTGGGGTCGTCAAGGGCTCTGCATTCGCTGACAATGTGTACAACGACCCCAAAGTACAACGCACGAGGAAAGGCTGAGGCATCAGCCCTATTGTGCCTGTTGCCATGCGCTGTGTGCGTCAGCTCATGCGGTTCGTCGTCGGGTCTGGCTCGGTGATTCCAGCCATTGATGAAGCAGTGCAATCGATGAAGCCTGGAGGGATCCGGCAAATCGTCGTCCCGCCTGAAATCGGTAGGGAATATCGTCATGTGTTGTCGCCTATTTGTCACGTTTCTGTTGGGTGTGTTTTTTCCTGCAGGTTATCCGATGGAAAAGGATCCGAATCACGAGATGGTCGGGCCGAAGCCATCCACATTTTCCGGACAGCGTTCGCTCAACTTTGTCCTTGAAAATCAGGTCCGTAGGGGAAAGAAGCAAGCGCCCAAAGGCCGTCAACATGCCTATCAGCGTTGTCACGTGTGTCATTTGCAGGGGCTGGTGGACAAAACCCTGCTATTCAACCTGAAGTTGTTACGAGTGGATGCCTCAAGAAAGCTGGCAGGACTCAGCTTTTGAGGTGTGTCGTTTGAGTACGGACGTGTAGACAGAAAACAGAGCATGTCCCGACGAATGCACAATTGGTGAGGATGGTGATGAATATGCACCGGAGCAGAAAAGCTAGGCCCTGAGGTCAAACCTGAACCTCTCGACAGGGCCGACGCGGCCGTGTGCCCATGGTCCGTATGGCGCGGCAGCTGACTTGCTCTCTCGAATAGCAGCCAAGACTTCCCATCTCACCATCACATCATGTCTTCAATGCATCCTTCTACCGCCTCACATCCGCCTCTTTGCATCTCTGCTCTGGGCAGCCACCTGTTGCTGCGCCCAGGTCAAATCCGTCACTGAGCCACATACACAATGTCCGTGAGTCCCGCACAAGTACAGACCAGTGCTGGGACGTACACTGTACACACAACGGTCATCCTGGCCGATCCGAATCTTTTGCTTGTTTGCTTTTGCGAGCACATCCGAGTCGGACGTTGTGTCCGGCCGTGACGCCATTCGCCCTGTGCGTGAACCGCCCCCCCCTTCCAGAGCTGGGTGTAATCTTGCAGATTCAGGGTCGGACCAGCTCTACTGCTTCAAAAGGCTACAGAAGAAAAGACAGGTGAGGGGTTGGGAGGCTGGATGATGATGACAAAGACCAACCTGTGCTTTGCTTTCCACGTGGTGTCCAGTTGGAGGAGGATGTGAAGGCCATCATTGCTCACCGCATCTCTGAAGGCGGGTTTGTCCACTTCGGTGACGTTGTTGCCACTCTCTGCACAATCAGTGGCTGCAGCGCCCCTTCTTATTCTTGATTCACCCGGTTCCACACGAGCGAAGCAGTTATTCGATGTCGGGCACCCCTTCTGACCCAGAACCAACAACGCCGCGCGTGTCCGGTGAATCGTGGCAGCAAATGGTGGTCCAGCTGAAGGCTTTCCCGGAGGCGCGCCTCCATTGGCAATCAGGCCTCTTGGACGATGATGCGCGGGACTACTACAGCTCGATGCTGAACTACCTCTCGGGACAGAGACAAGTCCCTCCCATCCGCCACGAGGGCAACGCAGCACGCGACGACTACCTCGAATTCGTGCGGAATGTCGTGCGTCCGCAATGCGTCGACGACCAGGAGAGGGCGTTCTGTGACGGGCTCTTTTACGCTCATGGTATTGTTATAGAGCAGGTACATACGAACACTCATTCGGATGTGTTTGCAGGTGGATGACTGCATCACGGTCAAGCTACTATGTAACACACCATCTGCTGGTAGGCAAGAACCAAGCGATGGACTTCCATTCAATCAATTAGATGAGGTCCACTTTACAGGGGAAGCCATACGGCATCAGTCGTACGGTGGCCAGCACAGTTTCCTGCATCAATGAGGCTGGCGGCTCAATGAGGCCGGCAGCCCTCTGGAGTTCCACGGACCCACTGGATTCCCAGAGGAGGTCCGAATTTTCTCTCTTGTCTCGTTTTTTTAAGGCCCTTCGGGGCTAACCATTTGCACAAGTCGCTTCCAGTGCAGACGACGGCAAAACAGACGACGGCACAACAGAGGAGCACGGCACAACAGAAGAGCGCGGCACAACGGATGAGCACGGCACAACAGAGAAGTGCGCCTGAAGAGCGCGGCACAACGGATGGGCGCGGCAAAAATCCCAGTGCGCCTGAAGAGCACGGCACAAGGGATGAGCGCGGCACAGCAGACAAAAACCCCAGTGCGCCTGAAGAGCACGGCACAACGGAAAGGGACCGGCACAGCAGACAAAAACCCCAGTGTGCCACCTGTAGGCCCTTCGGGGCTAACCATTTGCACAAGTCGCTTTCTGTGCACATATTTGCCTTGTGCAGCTGGCACTTGTACGTACACACACACATTTGCCTGAGGGCCGTTTGCAGATGTCAGGCAGGATTGCACTACACCATACCATACACCCTATACTGCGCTGTATGTCGAATGGACTCCTCATGCTCGCCACTGAGCATCCGAATGCTCTCCTGAGAGGACAGACACGGGGTCTTTTTTTTGAACCTCTCGTGTGGTGATTGCAACTGCCTCTTGTTTGGACCATGTCGCACAGAGACGGCCATTTGAGAGTATAGTCGCAAAGGACTCAATCATGAGCCTTTGAGTGAGAAATTGGTCTCTGGTGCATGTCACAATGGCACAACGCTGCCCTGATGAAGGGAGGGAGTCTACTCCCTCTGTGGCCATTCCTGAAAATTGTCAGGGCACATTGACTTTCTCGCGGGATGGTGAGGGAAGGGGAAGGCAGGCAGTCAGCTGTCGTGTCCAGAGAGAGAGGAGAGAGCGAGAAAAAGAGAGAGACTTGATGTTTTGCACGTATGGATGCACTTCGGCTTTCCTTCTGCGCTTTGCACGCTGCACTGCCACAGCAGCACGCTGATACGTATGCACGCTGCCATTCAATCCAGGATGGCCCTCTTTCTTGCGGCCTCGTGCAGTTTGAAGCAAACAAATGGCACAGTGATTCTCCCCTCTCATCGAGCGTGGATTTTGTGCCTGTTCCTTGCCAAGAAAATTCTGCAATTCGTCTTGTGGTGTCCACACAAAGACATCGCAGTACAGCCTCCCATTCCCGCCTCATCGAGTTGCTGCTTTAGACGACAGCACCGGTGCCTCTCACAAGACCTCTTTCGCACCCTTGCGACGTCTTCGTTTACCGGACCAATTTCAGGACGGCCCTGTTTGCGGCCTCGTCCACTTGTGCAAGAGAAACTGCACAGTGGTATTCTCCTCTCATCAAAGGTGGATTCTATTGCCAATGTATGCACCCCCAGCACTCCGTGCGTGGTTGTTATAAGGGCGTGTTTGTGTGTGACTGGGCGATCTGCACTGGCTGGCCACCTGGGGATGGGCGGTATCTACGTATGGAGTCATGGTGCCTGCCGCACGCACGCACGCCGCCTTCAAGCTGCTGCTGGGGTGGCGTGTGTGCGACGCTGTGTGCCTGCTTGTATGTGACCGTCGTTCGCAGCGCATTGCATATCCTCCTGTCTGCTGCATCTGCCCTCTGCGTGCTGCGTGTTTCGTGTCCGGGTTGCATGTTAGGGTGCCTGTTTCATGTTGGACAGACCGACAGGGGACTTGGCCGTCAGGCCACCTAGGGTGCTCCCTGAAACCGCTGCTGCAATGTATGGCGAGGAAAATTCTGCACTTCGTGTCGTGGTGCTCAAGTCATGCGTCCAAAGACATCCTGCTACCGCCTCCCATTCTCGCCTCTTTGCATCCCTGCTCTGGGCAGCCGACTTGCTGCGGCCATTACAGCCAGGAGAGGCCCCTTATGCACCCTTGCGACGTCAGAAAACCGCTCGAGAATACCCAGGCCCCCATACTTGTCTCACGGACAAGTCTAGCAGAGGCCCTTCTCGTCTCTCCTCGTGTTCGCTGAGCCAGACAAACTGCACAGTTTTGTTCCCCTCTCATCAAAGGGGGAGAAACTGTCATTAACCGTAACACTCGTCTGTGTGTCCGTGATACTCATACAAATACAGTCCCATCAGCA